GGGAGGGGGGAAGAAAAAGAAAGAGGAAGGAAGGAGGAAAGGGAGGAACAGAGAGAAAGAAACAGAGAAAGGACATGATTTCTGTCTTCTAGGATCATAGGAGAGAGGGCTCACAGATGTAGATTGTTCTGGAAGAGACAAATGACCACAGGGAGTCCCCTTTCACATGTTCCTCAGCCTCTTCTGATGGAATAGGCTACTTCCCTTTCATTCGTTCTCTGAGTCCAACATGGGGCCACCCTCACCAGCCTTCTAGACTCCTGTTACCAGCTCAGCTATAGTTCCTCTCCCTAGGTGATCTCATCCATTTTCCTGGCTTTAAATACCATCTATATGCTGGTGACTCACAAATGTATATTTCTAGCCCAGACCTCTCCTCAGAGCTCCAGACTCTTATACCCAACTTCCTGCTTGATGTCTCCATGTCCAAAAACATCATCTCAAGCTCAGTAATCCCACACGAAGCTCTCAATTCGCTCACTCCAAACGCGCAGCTTCCCTCTTCATCTCAACAAACGGGGCCAGAGCCCAGAGCCAGAGCCGAGGGCCATCTCTGTCTCTGATCCCTCCTTCTCCTTTACCAAAACCCCAATTAACACCTGTTCATGCCATTTCCAATAGAAAGCTCAAATGTGGCTGAACACCTGCAATCCAGAGAGGCCGAGCATCGTGAATTCCACCCTGGGCTGCATAGTAAGATCCTGTCTCAAAGCCTTTAATTCCAGCACTTGGGAAGCAGAGGCAGACAGATCTCTGAATTCAAGACCAGCCTGGTCTACATGAGTTCCAGGACAGCTGGGGCTACAGGGAGACCCTGTCTCAAGAAGACCAAAAAAAAATCCTGTCTCAAAGTGGGGGTGGGGTGGGACTGGAGTGGGGGAGGGAGAGAGAGAGAGAAGAAGAGAAGGAGGAGGAGGAAGAGGAGGGAAAGGAGGAGAGGGGAGGAGAGAAAGGAGGGGAGAGCAGGCAATGCAAGACAGAAATCTCGTTTCCTTTCCTCCCTGTCTGGGCTTCCCTCCAATTCCAACCAAGTTCTTTCATCTGATCTGCTCAAGGCCACAAGTCTTTGGTCTTGTTAATCCATGTTTACTCCTACCTCCTAAGACCCCGCCTCAACCATCAGCCAGAACCAATCAGAACACCTGGATCTACCACTCAAAACCCCTGAGTGCCCTGCCTCAGAGCATCCAGCCACACTGCCTTCAGACCACTCTGCATTCTAGACTCTTTTCTTTTCTTAGACAGGGTCTTCCTGAAGCTCCAACTAACCTGGAACTTCATATGTAGACCAGGCTGGCCTCAAACTCACAGAGATTCACCTGCTCTGCCTCTTAAGTGCTGGAATTAAAGGTGTGTGTTACCATGTTCAGTATATTCTAGGTTCTTATTTATTAAGTTTTCTGAGATAGGGTCTCTATTTATTTATTTATCTATTTATTTTTTGAGACAGAGTCTCCCTGTAGCCCCAGCTGTCCTGGGGGTATGTAGACCTCACTATGTAGACCAGGGTGGCTTTGAACTCGCAGAGATCCGCCTGCCTCTGCTGGGATTAAAGGCGTGTGCCACCACATCCGGCTGAGATAGGGTCTTTTTATGTAGCCCAGGCTGGCCTCCAACTTGGGATCTTTGCCTCCTGAGTGCTGGGATCACAACTGCATCCTCCTTGCCTGAGGCCTGTTCTAGGCTCTGGATGGTCTCCCAGCCTGCTCACCTTGCCTAGGCCACTCCAGTACCACTTACCACATCCCATCTGACAAGTGTCTCTTGACAGATTTCCTGTGGGAATGGTGCCCAGGTTCTCACCTGTCCTCCAGTCCTCCATCCACCTCACTAGTTGGAGCCATCAGTGTATCTTATCTGTCTGTCTCCCTGCTAGGCTGAAGCCAGAGGTACTTGTTCTTAACCACAGTTGTACAACAGGTATTCAAGAAATGATGGAACGATGGGGGGGGGGTAGGTATGTCGGATGCAAAGCCTTTCCAACTCTGGACAGTTAAAGTTCAGCATTGTCTGCCATATTCCTGAGTTCCTGCATTGTAGGAGGCTTTGCGGGGAATGCTGGGAAGGGTTCACTCAGAAGAGGGTGTCAGATCCCCTGGAAAAGGAGTTACAGGTGGTTATGAACTATCATATAGGTGCTGAGAATCAAATTGGGGTCGTCTTCAAGAGCAGTAAGTACTCTTAACTGCTGAGCCATTCTCTAGCCCCAAATGCATATAATTTTAATGCATTCTTTGGAATAGATAACATGCACACACGGCACAATATTAAAAACATACAAGTGGAGTGTTGTAGGACACACCTTTGATCAAACTCGGGAGACAAAGGCAGGTGAAGCTCTATGAGTGGGAGGCCAGCCTGGTCTACATAGCAAGTTCCAGGCTAGCCAGGGCTATATAATGAGACCCTGTTTGGAAAAAAAACAAAAAGCCTCCTTTTTCATGGCTGCATACTATTTTGTCATGGGAAGTCATGTAGTAACTAGTTTAACCAGTCCCTGATGCATGGGCATTTCAGTTGTTTCTTTTTTTTCTCTTAGCAAGCTATAGTTAAGAATCTTAAACTTTGGGGCTGGAGAGGTGGCCCAGTGGTTAAGAGCCCTGACTTTGCTTACAGAGGACCCAGGTTTGATTCCCAGCCACCCACATGGTAGCCATGGTTACCATTGGTAATGCCAGTTCCAGGGGAATCCAACGCCCTCTTCTGACTTCTGTAGGCATTGCATGACATTGGTGCACTTACATACATGCAGGCAATACACTCATACACATAAAATAAAATAATAGCTGGGCGTGGTGGTGCACTCCTTTAATCCCAGCACAAATAAATAAATAAATAAATAAATTTTAAAAATTAAAAAAAAGAATCTTGAACTTCATAGGGCTGGAGAGATGGCTCATTGCTTAAGAACACTGGCTGCTCTTGCAGAGGACCTGGGTTCAAGTCTCAGCACCCACATAGTGACTAACAACCTTCAATAACTCCAGTTCCAGGGCATCCAGCACCATCTTCTAGTCTCCACCAGCACTGCATGACATGGGTGCACTTACATACATACAGACAAAACACTCATGCACATAAAAAATAATAAAAATTTTAAAGATGTTTATTTATTATTGGTCTTTTTGAGACAGGGTCTCCCATGTAGCTCCAGCTGGCCTGGAGCTCACTATGTAGACCAGGCTGGCCTCAAACTCACAGAGATCCACCTGCCTCTGCCTCCTGAGTGCTGGGATTAAAGGCATGTGCCACCATACCCGTCCCTTATTTTTGGTTGTTAGCCTTAGCCTTTAATGGCTGCGCTAGCCCTCCAGCCCAGCCGGCCCTTATTTTTAATTATGTATATGTATGTATGTCTGTCTGTGTGTGGGTATGTGAAGAGAGCAGGGGTGTCTAATTCCCTGGAGCTGGAGTTACAAGCTGCCCGATGTGGGTGCTGGGAATCAAACTCAGGTCCTCTGCAAGAGCGGTATGCTCCCTTAATCACTGAGCCAAATCTCTAGTCCCCCTAAATTTTATTTAAAGTTTTTCACTTAACTTAAAAAAAAGATTCTTAGCCAGGCGTGGTAGCACATGCCTTTGATCCCAGCACTTGAGAGGCAGAGGCAGGTGGATCTCTGTGAGTTCAAGGCCAGCCTGGTCTACATAGTAGGTTCTAGGACAGCTGGGGCTACAGGGAAACCCTGTCTCAAAAAGACTGAAAAAAAAAAAAAAAGACTTTTGGACTTCTGTTATTTTTCACATGGTCTGGTATATCTTAAGATAAAGCCAGAGAATTTCAGGGCTAAAGAATATCAGTATTTGTGACCCTGGCTTTTACCTTCAGACTGGTTTCAGCAAACGTGGCACTCATTTAGCTTTTGCAGCAACTGACAGTTTGAATTTTGGTCATTTGATGGCTGACAGGGGCTGTCTGTGTATAATTTGACTTTACATCATTCTTTAATTAAAATTTTTATTTGTAATTCTTTTTTTCTTTTTTTGGTCTTTTTGAGACATGGTCTCCCTGTAGCGGACTTGAAACTTGCTATGTAGACAAGGCTGGCCTCAAACTCACAGAGATCTGCCCGCTTCTGCCCCTGGAGTGCTGGGATTAAAGGCATGTGCCACCATGTCTGGCCTTATTTGTAATTCTTTATGTGCATGTGTTTTGCCTGCATTCACATGCACCACATGCAGAACTGGAATTAGGGAGAGTTGTTAGCTGCCATGTGGGTGCTAGGAATCAAACCCATAAAATGTTAACCTGGACTCAAGAGGCAGAGGCAGGCAGATGTCTGTGAGATCAAGGTCAGCCTGGTCGACATAGAGAGCTCTGGGCCAGCTGGAGCTACATATATAATATATATTAGAATACAGGAAATTTGATGGGGGTTAGTAAGAGGGGGTGCAGACATGGGAGGGGATCTAAAAATGGTCAAAATATATTAAATAAAATTCTCAAAATTTCAACTTAAAAAAGGAAAACAGTACAAACACCTGAAATTTACATGTAACAAAACTGACCACGTTACCTTTTATTTTTGGTACTGGCAATCAAATATCAGGCTTCGTGGATACTAAGCACTACTGCACCAGGTCAGTCCTTGATTGTTTTTAGGTGTACAGTTAGTGAGTATGGAGCATATTCACGCAGTTGAGCAACCACAGTTCTCTAAGTCAAAATATTCAGTGAGGCTGACTTTGTACCAGGGCAAGTCTAGAGCACTAGGGACTCAGATCAATCAGCCCCAGCACACTGCAGAACTCCCAGGTTGATGGGAGACAGAAATGTAAACAGGCAGACAGAACTCAGCAGAGCTGGAGTCCAAGGGACCTTCAGGCTAAAGGGATAACGGGAAGGTGGTTAAGTGTGTGTGCACGCTCCCGGAAGACAGCTAGGAAAGTGACCTGGCATGATCTCACAAGTAGAGAACTGTACTGAGCCAAGGCCTAGGGGTCTAGAGATCACAGCAGCGCCCTGGAACTGCAGGTAAGTGTTGCAGTTGTTGGCGGCAGAGGGTTCCTGGCTTAGGGGCCTCTTCCAGGAGTTAGTCTTTTTTGAGCAAATGGGAGTGAAGATCAAGGTTAGGGATGAAGCCCTCTGTAGCACCAACCTGTAATCCCAATGAGTCAGGAGAATCAGGAGTTCAAGGCCAACCTAGGCTAGGCTCATTCAAAAATTAACAAAACAGAAAGCTAGGGGCTAGACAAGCTGGAGCAGGTGTGGAGTAGGGCAGGAGGGTTGGGGGGAACAGGTTCATGACTGCAGGGCCAAGCTTTGATGTTCCTGACGCCTGAGGGGACAGAAACGGAGATGGCAGGAGGGAGTTATGGTCTGGGAAGGAGACTCCGGTCCTGGGTTAGGCCACAAGAAGAGAGGAGGTGTGGGGAGCCAGTCTTCCTAGGCTCCTTCGGACTGCCAGGTTCCCCAGCGGATCCGACCCCCATCCCTGCCCGCCACAGCGGATCTCCAAACCACGCCCCTATGGACATCGGAGGGGTAGACAGCTGCCCTCTTCCCTCCCTCTCGCGCTTTCTGGGATGGGGGTGGAGGGGAAGAGAACCAGCGTCGCCATGGCAACCAGGCTGGTGGTCCGGCCCTAGAGACCTGAGTGAGTGAAGGAAAGGCAGAGCACGTCAGAGCCACTGAGCTCTCCGCAGCGGGGGCGGGGGCCTAGGTCCCCCGGGAGGAGTTGGGAAACACCCGGCGACAGCCGCGATGGGTTCAGGGTGGCGCAGCGAGCCCGCGTGCTGGCGAGCGTGTGCGTGCGAAGTTCGCGGGTGAGTGTGCTCCGGATGTCTGCCGTGTCTATGCACCGGCGGGAGCTTGCACCCTGGAGCACTGGTGAGTGTGAGCCAGCCCGCGCGCCCGTGCGAGTGTGAGCGCGAGCACACGTGTCTGGGTGTGCGCTCCCATGCGCTCGGGGGCCCTGGCGCGCGGCCAGCTGGAGCCGGAGTCCCGCCCTCCGCGCCTCTCCCGGCCGCCGCCGGCTGCAGCTCCCGCCGCTGCTCACCCGCGCCTCCCGCCCCAGCCCGCGCTCCCTCCCGCTCCGCGCGCACCGCCGGACTCTGCTGTCCTCGCCCGCCTCCGGGAATCGCCGGCCGCCGCCGCCCAGCCTGCGCCCGCGGGCTGCCCAGTGTCTGGGCACCTGTTGGAGGCAGAGAGACAGGTGCGGGGGGCCGGGCCAGCCGGGGAGGTGCGCGGGTGCGGGCGAGGGGGAGCTGCGCGCTCCGGGGGTGTCCGCTCTTCTGCCGCTGCCTTTCTGGCTCCCCTGCGGAGCCGCTCGCAGGAGGAGGCATCCGAGCAGGGGTCCCACTCGCGAGGGCCGATGGCCCGGGTTGGGGACAAGGCTGGCAGGCAGAGCTTAGGCTAAGGGAAGGGACGCCTTAGAGGGGTGGCCACCCCGGAGCCTGATGCAGATGATCAGAGCCTCAGAGCAACGGAGGAGCGGACCTGGGGGTCTCCTGCGGGGTATGCAGGGCTGGGAACTGGGGAACCCAGGATGAGAGGAAAGCCATAACGCACAGGTAGGAGGGCAAGGTTATGGGGTAGTAAGATCTTACGCGCGATCTGGCAACCCAGCCCCTGTGGAGTCAGGCCTCCTGTTTGCCCACCAGCCTACACGGGTCATCCTCTCCCTTGACACCCAGGAAGGGAGGTCACTGAGGGCCCCACGGACCCCAACCAAACACTGCAGCTCTGTACTGGGTTTCCCAGCCAGACGTGCTGCATGAGGGGCCGCAGGGGCGACCGCATGACCATCAACATCCAGGAGCACATGGCCATCAACGTGTGCCCCGGGCCCATCAGGCCCATCCGCCAGATCTCCGACTACTTCCCCCGCAGGGGGCCAGGACCCGAGGGTGGTGGCGGCCGGGGCTGCGGGGAGGCCCCAGCTCATCTAGCCCCCCTGGCTCTGGCCCCCCCTGCGGCTCTCCTTGGGGCCTCTACACCCGATGATGGAGCTGAGGTGGACAGCTATGACTCGGATGATACCAGTGAGTCTGGGGGCTTGGCAGGCTTGTGGGAGGGCCCAACCTACTGGGTGTGCATGGGGGGCCAGGAGGAGGGACACAGGCAGTCCCGCCACCGCAGCTGCAGTCCGGGTGGAGATTACAGCTTCTGCAAGGCTCAATATTCAATATTTCTGCTGAGACACTCCACCACCCACACAGCTTGTTGCGGCCGAGCCAGGGACCTAGATGCAGGCATGCACATGTCTGCTCAGCCTTCTGCATACACAGCAGGCCAGCAAAGGCTGGGCACCTGCAGCTGGCCACTGGGGCTCACACATCTGACTTGGCTCAAAGACTCACACCACTTTTCCTCTCTCCCTTCCCCTTTCTGCAGCTGCTCTGGGCACACTGGAGTTTGACCTTCTCTATGATCAGGCCTCCTGCACGCTTCACTGTAGAATTCTCAGGGCCAAGGTGGGCATAACCTCCCTTCTAGGCTGTCTTCATAGGACAGGGCTCCATCCTTCCCAACCAGCACACTCTCGGCTCCTTCCGCCTCTCTGGTATTTCACCCTATGGGGATCCAGCCCTACAGGAGGGAGCCAGGCTGGGAGTATATAGCTCTCTTTGCACCCTGTCCTCCAGGGCCTCAAGCCCATGGATTTCAATGGCCTGGCTGACCCCTATGTCAAGCTGCACCTCCTGCCAGGAGCCTGCAAGGTATGTCTAGGAGATGTCTCTAGGTCTGGTTTAGCTTGTGGGTTCATCCTAGACTCTCCCAGCTCCCACCTTCAGTCTTTGGGAATCCAACAGACATGCATTAGAACCCTCTGTCCCCCTATGTCCCAGGCTAATAAGCTAAAAACTAAGACGCAGAGGAACACACTGAATCCTGTGTGGAATGAGGAGCTGACATACAGCGGAATCACTGATGATGACATCACTCACAAGGTGCTCAGGTAGGGCTTTTCCTCCAGCCCAGCACCTCTGTGGGACAGCTGTCACTGTAATCTTTGGTTGCTGGATCAATCTTCCTGAGTCCCACCCACCCTGTTGCTGCTCAACAGTCAGTGGCTCCCCAGCTCCCTCAGCAGCAGGCCCAAAGGTTTCTCCGGCATTGCTGCCCTCAACATGGTTCCAACTGCTCTTCCAGCAGATGACTATCAGATTCGTCTTTGTCAGTTATGCCTCTTCAACCCAGAAAATGCTCTTGGCTTCATCTCTACCAACATCAATCCTTATGTTTCCTCTGCTTCCCAGGCCCCTTCTCAGGGCCCCTGACTGGTCAGACCTATGCACCTCAGGTTGCCCATCCTATTCCATATCCCCCTATCATCTCTGAGGAGGGAAGACTCTCAGGCCAGGAAACTTGCTGTCATCCCAGATGAGGAGTATCCCCCCAAGGGTAGTGGGACAGCAAAACCCAGGCTTGGGAGAGTCTCTTCCTGTATTCTTGGGCAGTAGAGAGCCACAGAAGCATTTCTATCAGGAAAGAGGCATGGTCAGGGCTGTTCTACAGAGCTCATGTGGTGTCAGAGGTGAGAGGGACAAGGCAGAAGTCCGCCGAGTTGGCCTCACATTCCCAGAGTGAGAGGATTTAAGCCTCAAAGTAATGCAAGCTCACAAACTTTTTTTTTTAAAGACAAGTCAGCCCAGTCTGGCTTTGAACTCACAATCCTCTTGCCTCAGTCTCCTGAATGCTAGGATCCTAGTGTGTGCTACCATACCAGGAGTGTTTGTTTTTACTGTTTTTTGTTTTGTTTTGTTTTGTTTTTCCCCTTTGACTCATGATGGCTTTAGGAACTAGATATGTGCTATCTCCACTTGGGAGTCTGGAGTCCAGGCTCAGGGAGGTTAGGTGACTTGCCCAAGGTCACATAGGTAGCCAATAAGGGCTGGGATTTCAACATTCCTTCATGCTACAGCTACTCAACCCAGCAGTTGGCCACTCCAGTGGCAGTGCAGAGGACAGAGGGCAGAGAAATCATCTCTTAGCTCTCAGCTGCTGCACCTTGCCAGGCTGGGCTCCCTGCTTAAGCAGAAAACAGGGGACCCAAATGGGTCCAAGGTAGCTAGACAAGCCTTCTAGTTCTTAGAGCTGGGCTTGCATCTGTGACCACACCCCACACACCTGTGGTGTTCAAGCAATTCTAGGACTTGTGAGGGCTTCCTGTGGTAGTTGAGCCTTTCCTGTTCCCGATGGATGCAGGGTAGCCTGGGGCAGAGGACAGGGCAAAGTCAATGGTCTTTCTCAAGCTCTGGCCCCTTTTACATAAGCTGGAAAACTTAGAGCAGGGACAGGACTGGTCTGAGGCCCTCTCCCTCCCTCCTGAGTGGGGCTCAGATACCCAGGGGCCCTGACCCTGCAGTTGCCTGACAGGATCTCTGTCTGTGATGAGGACAAGCTGAGCCACAATGAATTTATTGGAGAGATCCGAGTGCCCCTCCGCCGCCTCAAGCCTTCACAGAAGAAGCATTTTAACATCTGTCTTGAGCGGCAGGTTCCGGTCTGTGTGGAGTGGAGGGGTATGGGGGTGGGAGGACAGGAGAGATCAGCTTGCCAGAACCTTTTCTTTGCTCCCTCAGCTTCCTTCACCCTCATCAATGTCTGCAGCGCTGAGGGGCATCTCTTGTTACCTGAAGGAGGTGAGGGACATCCTGAGGACCCTGTCTGGGCAGGAGGTGGGGGAGGCCCCAGACTGACCCCTGCCCCTTTCTCTGGCAGCTAGAACAGGTGGAGCAGGGACCTGGGCTGCTGGAAGAGCGTGGGCGCATCCTGCTAAGCCTCAGCTACAGCTCTCAGAGGCGGGGGCTGCTGGTGGGCATCGTTCGCTGTGCCCACCTGGCTGCCATGGATGTCAACGGTTACTCTGACCCTTATGTGAAGACGTGAGCCCTCACCCAAGCCAGACCCCAACCCAACTACTCTGGGGCCTAGCTTGTCCCTAATTTCTTGGCTCCTCTTCCCCTCCCCCAGGTACTTGAGACCAGATGTGGATAAAAAATCCAAGCATAAAACATGTGTGAAGAAGAAGACGTTAAACCCGGAATTTAATGAGGTAAACACAGCAGGGGCTAGAAATCACAGTGGACTGGGAGCAGAGATGGGGTTTGGAGAGGGCCTCATGGGAAGGTGTCTTGTTCCCAGGAATTTTTCTATGAGATGGAGCTCTCCACTCTGGCCACCAAGACTCTGGAAGTCACAGTCTGGGACTATGACATTGGCAAATCCAATGACTTCATAGGTGAGGGGAAGAACCCACCAGGTGCTGTTGTGGGAGGCAGGGCAGGAAAATGGACACTGACTAGGCCTGCCTCGATTTGCTCTCCAGGCGGTGTGTCCCTGGGGCCAGGAGCCCGAGGAGAGGGAAGGAGACACTGGAGTGACTGTCTCCAGCAGCCAGATGCAGCCTTGGAGCGCTGGCACACCCTGACCAGCGAGCTGCCCCCAGCAGCTGGGGCACTCCCTTCAGCTTGAGCAGACAGCAGCTGCCCAGCGCAGGCCCCTCAGGCCGGGTCTAGTACCCAACCTTCGCACGAGTGTGTTGCACGTTTACACGGGGTGGGCTGCCCCCTGCCCCGCACTACCTGTCTTATTTTTGTGAGAGTTTCTGTGACTGTGGGTCTGTCTTCTTGTGAGGGACTGTGGAGATCTATATTCACATATGCAAACTTTCTCCTGCCTGACTTGCTGTTACCTGCAAATATGCAACCACCCCAGGCACAGGGCAGAGCAGGGAGTCCCCTGCCAGCACTCCTGCCCCACCCCACTACTCCTCTCTAGGCCTCTCCAGGCTGCCTGGCCTCCTGCCCCATAGGGAGGAGGTTGGATTAGGGGAGATTTAGAGGAGTTTCCAAAAGAGAAAAGGACAAGTTAAAAAAAAAAAAAAAAAGTCAGTCCTTTAATACAGAATCTTCACTAGAAAAGCCCCAGCCCTGTTCAGCTGCCCTTCTGAAGGGGTGGCCACCACAGGGTCTCTGCTTCCCTAAGAGGTGGCCAATACTTCTGGCCACTCATTAAATAACTGTCCCCTGGATGGAGCTGGGGGCCACCTTCCTGGGGGACATTTGTGCATGTTTACGCCTTTTCTGATTGTGTCAGTGGCCGAAGCATGGCAACTGGGCATCAATAAACATCTCTGAGGAAGTGGGCTTGAGTGGCTGGCACTGGTTGGAGCACTGGGCAGTTACTCTGGAATGTCGATCACCAGGTCGTCGTCACCGTCCAGAGCATCATCCCCACTGCCTGCATCGCTGAACATCTGCTGAGGGACGGTGCTCAGGATTGTGTGTGGGGGCATCTTGGGGGGAGGTAGGGGGGTCAGGGCCGCCCCAACACTGGCCCCAGGACCTCGGGCAGGGAAGGTCAGCGGCCCGCCCACAGGGCAGTCAGGGGGTCCCACCGCCATCTGCAGCAGGGGGAGAAACACAGGGAAGGCTTGTCAGAGAGGCGCTGGCACCTCCAGGATGCTGGGCACTGCCCACTGAAGGCAGTTCAAGGGGTGCAGGAGGGGCAGTGGACACTGCCAGCCATCCAGCATTAGAATCAGGCTTGCCCCACCTCAGCCCCTCAGTCTCAAGCCAAGTGCCTGGGGAAAGGGGCAGTGATGAAGCATTATGCAGATGGGTGAAGGGAGACTGATGGGAAATCTGGATAGAAAAGCTGGGCTCTTCCCTCTCCAGTGAGGCACTCTGGTTGACCTGTGACAGAGGTTAAAGCCAGACTCAGGACCAGCTCAGAGTGCTTTCCTCTTGCCTCTGGGCACCTCAGGTACCACTGGCTGTTTCTCCCTCCTCCTGTGGGATTCACTGGTACATGGTAGGCATCACAGGCTTCCTGAGCCAGAAGCCTAGGCGGTGGCTTCGCCCCCCAGCTTCCATGACATTGTGGATGAGCCCTTCCTTGGGACCCCAGCAGCCACCAGCCTGAGCCAGGCCCTCCTCTCGCTCACCTGGGCTAGGTACCAGCCTCCTAACTGGACTCCCTGCCTTCAGCCTCTCCCAGATCCAGCTCCTCCTCCACACTGCGGCCAGAGTGATCACTCTAGAACACAAACCTGAGCATGTCACTCCCCTGCCTGAGGGCTTGGCCCTTGCTGCCCAGAGGATAGGCAGTGTATAGTGTGTCCGACAACAGTCCTGCTCTGCCCTCTGAGCTGGAACAACCCTGCTCTGCCCAACCCTCCAGCCCCAACCCTGCCAGGTCCTTACAGATCCTTCCCAAACAGTGCTCTCTGGGTGCCAGCAACAGCTAATGTGTTATGGACAGACACTAAGCACATACTATGGGGCCAGGTGGCACCCATCAGTGATCTCTTTATACCACCACCCTGGAAGAGAGGTGGGGCCATATGCCAGAGGAAGGAACTGAGGGATGGAATATACTACTAGTTCCCACTTGGCAGCATACAAGATGCCCCTGGGGCTGGGTTGGGAGGAGACACTATTTGTGGTCTCCACAGTGGCCTCCTGATTCCTGTCACACTGGTCCTGTAATTTGTTCTCTATTTGCCAAGGAGGCCTACCCTCACTTCTGGTCTAATATAGGGGGAGGGGAGCTAGAGTAGGCAAAGCCTCAGGGAACATGGACAGCAGACAGGAGGTCCAGCTCTGGATAGTACCAGGACCCCAGCTATACACAGGAGCAGATGTTCACAGAGGACTGTGCCTCTGGCTCCCCTCTGCACCCCTACCCTGTCCCCCAGAACTACACTGACCTCAACTTCCTTGGTGTGAACAAGATCAGCCAATGTGGCTCCGTAGATTGCCAGGGCCCTGGTGCAATTGGGCTGCTTTCTATCCCTCACTCATTTTAGTCAATGATTGAAGAACTAGAGTTCAGTGACGTGCTCAGGATCACATGGCGAGTATGTGAACGAGCTGGGATCCATATCCAGCTAAGCCTAAAGCCCCAGCTTTCTATTTTGTTTTTGTGGTGTTGGGGATCCAACCACTGAGCCACATCATCTGAGTGAGGTCCCAGCTCTTAACTGACTGGTATCAGCCTTCATGTTTCACCTCAGTTCACACTTGCTACCTCCCACTCCCCTCAGTGATGGGCTCCTTCCTGATCTGGGGGTCCAGGCCTTCCATGACCCCACCCCATCTTGTTTAACACTCCAGCTTTATTCTGTCATTTCTTATCCCTGCTGCAGCCTATTTTCTACCGGGTTCCTGTCACCCTTCCAGCTATGGCCAATCCAGATCTTACTGAACCTGGACTCTAGTCCTTAGCTGAACCTCTGGGTGCCCCCACCCCATAGCAGTTGACTTCAGCCTTTCCAACCAATCCAGTCACTGTACTTAAGGACAGCAGTAGCCAGTCTCTAGCCATTCGTCTACATGTGCTAAACTTCCTGCAGCTCTAGACTGCCATGTCTAACCTTCTCCACACACCTGTCCTGAAGGCCAGAAGCCCAGAATTTTTTGCAGAGGCCAGTGTTATTACCCTGATTTCGCCCCCAGTGTTAGGGATCAAACTTGGGGCCTTTCACATGTTAGGTAAGCACTTCACCACTGAGCTGCATGCCTAGTGCCCAGAATTCATTAGAATTCATACTCTGTTTTTTTGTTTTTGGAGACAGGATTTCACTATGTAGTCCTGGCTGGCCTGGAACTTCCTATGTAGAAGGTATGCATCACCACACTTGGCCAAGAACTCATATTCTTTAAAATTTTATGTGTGTGAGTCTTTTGCCTGCATGGATGTAAGTCCAAATGTATACAATGTCTGTGGAGGCTAGAAGAGGGCATCAGATCCCCTGGAACTGGAGTTATGGATGGTTGTTACCGCCTTGTGGGTGCTGGGAACTGAACCCAGGTCTTCTGCAAGAACAGCCAGTTGTCCTTAACCTCTGAGCATCTCTCTAGCCCCAAGAGCTAGCCTGGTCCTTACTCAACTCCGCTTCCCAGTTGATGGACACTGCATCTTCCCGCCTCTCTGGCTGGCTTCTCATCAGTCCTGGGGCTCCATGTTCAGACTTCTTCCCTTTTCCAACCATTCAAGTAAACACCCCTGCAAGCCTGGGCTCACATATCTGCTGTCTAGTCAGCATTTCCAGATGCCCTCCCAGCAGGTCCCAAGCCAAATTCTCACCTTCTTTTCAGAACCCACTCCTCCCATAAGCCTCATCTCAAACTGCCGCTTCTCTTCTTCCCTGCTAAGGTAAAAGCCCCAGAGTCCTCCTGGGTTCCTCTTTCCCTCTTACAGCCAAACCCTGTGGCACTTTCTTTAAGATGAACCTGTGGTGCACTCTGCTGAGTTTCTTACAGTCACCTTCTCCCTACCATCCTGACTACTCCAGCTCCTGTACCCAGGCCTGTCCACATGCTGTCCATGTTTCTAAAATGTAAGCCGGGCCAGGTCCTGTCTGCCCACCCTCCACAAGGGGTTCTCACTCCATTCATGTATAAGCCCAGTTCTCTCCAGCACCTCAAGGCCCTATGTGTTCCAGTCCCTTGGCTCTGACCTCTCTCTGATCATCTGCTGAGCTTCCCTCCTACCAGGTCTTTCAACAAGCCAAGCAAGCACGAGCCACAGACTCAAACACTTTCCTAGATAGCATCATGGCTTGCCCTTATTTCCGTTAAGTATCTAGGCAATAACACCCTAGACCATCTGTCTACCTTAAAAGTCTCGTCCAATCTGGTCATTTTTCTCCACTCAGGCCAATCTACCTTGTATCTTCTGCCCATCTTGTTGAACAGGAGTTCTCTGAGGTCAGAGGTATCTCCCTGATCATTATTACAACTGCAGCACCTTAGGATGCTCCATGAACACTTGTTGATTTCATCTGGTTTGATCACTTGTTCTGAGTCCAGGAGACCTGCTCAAGGTCACAATATTCTGAACTGGGGCAGCCTTGACTGGACTCTACATTCCACAATTCTGCCCCTCAAGGTTTGCATAAAGTACTCACAACTTGTATGAACATATCCTGCTCTGGTCACACTTCAGGCTATGATCTTGGGGCCAGGTTGCCAGGCAGGACCTCAAGCATCCCCCAAGACTGGTTCTGGCCCTGCCAGTGAATCAGGACTTTTCTGCTCTACCCCTCAGTGCTAAGCCCTGGGCTGAGGAAGCAGCCCAGTTGATAGGGTGCTTGCCTAGCATACACAAAGCCCTGGATTCAATCCTCAGTACTGCATAAACCAGACATGGTGACACATGTCTGTAATCCCAGGACTCAGGAGGCAGAGGTAGGAGGACTGGCTTAAGGTCATCGTGCCAGCTTGGACGACAAGAGATCCTCTCTCAAAACAAAACAACAACAACAACAAAACAACCAAACAAAAAAGCAAAGCAAAACAAAACAAAAATCCCCACAGTTTGCAGGGCGTGGTGGTGCATGCCTATAGTCCCAGCACTCAGGAGGCAGAGGCAGGCGGATCTCTGAGTTCCAGGCCACCCTGGTCTACATAGTGAGTTCCAGGTCAGCTGGTGCTACAGGGAGACCATCTCAGAAAGACAAAAAAAAAACCAAACAACTCCCCAAAGTTCTAGATATGCCCCCAGCCAGTCTTAAGCCTCCTGTGAGTGTCCTGCCTTTGTGGCCCTCCCTACAATCCCACATCAGGGTACCTTGAGTTTCCGGGGTAGGCGGGGCCGTTTCTCCAGCTTGGGCCTCAGGGGGCTGGGCTCAGGCAGCTGCAGGGCCAGGTAGTCAGAAGGGAATGGGGGATAAGGGGGAGAAGCCAGCTGCTGGTGGGTGCAGGAGGATGGAGATGGGAAATGGAGTGGGTCAAGGTGAGGGGTGAAGGGGAGAAATGCACACAGGAGAAGAATGGAAAAACAAAAGAGATGGTGATGAGTGTGGCTCCCAGGGCTCCTGGGAATAGAGGGGGACAGCAGCAGGACTATGTCCTGGGTCTGCTCTCCTGGTCATGTCTGCCCCCAGTCCTAAGTGAAAGAGAAGGCAACCCTGACTCACACCCTCCAAAGGTCCCTTGCTGGTCACATACAGATATGTTCTGCGTTGGTAGGCCTCATCCTGAGGCCTAGCCCTTTGCCCAAACAATGCCCATCTTATTATTCCCAGACATAGTAGCCCACTACTTCCTAGCCTTGACCCCAACTTACCGAGCTCAGGTATGGGGAGGGGGCCCCAGAGGCCTGCAAGGGAAATCCTGTTGAAGGAGGCAGGGAGAGGCTGGAAGGGGAAGGGGCACCCCCCAGAGGAGGGCTTCTTTTCCTAGAGAAAGGATGGGTAGGGGTGGTCAGAGGCAGCTGGGAGGCCCAGATCCCCCGCCCATCCCAGGGAATGCTGGCTGTTTCTTACCTCTTGGGGGCTGGTGTGTCAGGCAACTTGGGCGTCCCTTCTGTCTCACTGTTATCTGAAGATGCGGTGGCATCTGAGTCTGTGAGGGGGAGGGCTGGTCAGTGGGGTTGCGGGGGTGGGGTGGGGTGTCCCAATCCAATGCAGAGAACTGTGATCTCAACACTTCAGAAGGGTGCTGGGGAAGCAGACTCCCCAGTTGGCTCACATGCAAGCATGCTATTCTGGGAGTCTCCCAGCTACCCCAGCTTTCCCATCTGCTTCTACTTGGGCTCCTCCACGACACACTTGCCAACACATACTATGCACCAGACTCCTTCACATTCTCCTGGTCTTTTTAAGAACAGAGGAAGAGGAAGAGGATCACCTCTGCTTTCCAGATGAGCTCACAGAGACTCAGGTTGCAGTGGGAATGGGACCTGAACTCAGGTCTGTGATTCCGTGACCACTTTAGGCTACTTTCATGTGCTTGTGAGCCACCTTCAGCTCCAGCCTTGGCTCTACTCTCCTTGTTCAGGGTCCCATTAATTTACCCCTCCTCCTCCTTTCTTCTACTGCTCCCCTTTCCAACCACAAGGTCAGGGCAACACCACGTCAATCACCTGCTCAGCACTGCTTCAGCCTACCTTAACAAAGCTGGACTTTTCCCTCCCAGTACTGAGGCTTTCACCCAGAGCCTCATACCTGCTAGCCAAGTGCTCTACATCAGAACCACACCCCCAGCACTTGAGTGCACTATTTACACCACTAGGATTTCTTTCCAGAAAGAAATTGATTTTCTAGTTCAAAACTTTTTCTGAAAAGGCCCATCACTCATCTAACAACCACTACATATGATACATTGTTTTCAGTTCAGAGCCTTTATTTTTTCTATTTTGAGACAGTATCTTGCTATGTAGTTCAGGCTTTCCCTGTATGAGAAATTCTCCTGCCTTGGCCTCCTGAGTGTTTGGGTTATAGGCATGTGCTGCTACACCTGGCTCAGAGGCTCCTTTAAAACAGACTAGAGGCTGGAGAGATGGCTCAGGGTTCAAGAGCACTGGCTGCTCTTGCATAATACCTAGGTTCGGTTCCCAGCACCTAAATGGTGGCTAATAACTGTTCATAACTCCACGCCACTTCCTGGAGATCTGAGGCCTTATTCTAGTCTCCTTTGGACACTGCATGCATGTAGTGCACCTACATACATTCAGGGAAAACATTCATACAAATAAAAAACAAACAAAAAACCAACCACAGACTCTCACTCTGAGAAGTCTTCCAGAATCTCTCGGGCTCACATGATTGTTGGCCCTCCCAGAGTCTCACCTCTCATTTGCTATGGCTCATGCTGCTCTGAGAAGTGGCACCAGCTGCTCCCTGACCAAACTGTGAGCTTCTGCAGCCTATGGAGAATGGAGGCTTAACTCTATGGCTTGTGCTCAGGCCTGGAGCAAACTGAGACCTCTTATGCCTCCTGTCCTGCCGAGCCTCTCAAACAGGAAGTTAACTGGCTTTTGCCTAGTTCTTGAATCTTAGCTACAAACCTCTGTACTAATAAATGAAAATGTGGTACATGGTCCAACAGATCATTACTTACAAAAACAAAACATTATTTACAAAAGCCTTACTGGTTGCTATTTTCATATACTTGCCCTAAACCAATGTTTTTTTTGTTGTTGTTGTTTTGTTTTTGGTCTTTTTTGAGACAGGGTCTCCCTCTAGCCCCAGCTGTCCTGGAACTCACTATGTAGACCAGGCTGGCCTTGAACTCTCGAAGATCCGCCTGCCTCTGCCTCCCGAGTGCTGGGATTAAAGGCGTGCACCACCACGCCCGGCATTAAACCAATGTTTATATTTCTGAGACAGGGTCTCCCAAGATCTCTGTCATCGTCCAAAGCTAGAGAATTCAATGCATAATATACATACACACAATCCGCCTGCCTCATACGTGTGTGTGTGTGTGTGTGTGTGTGTGTGTGTATGTGTGTTTAAAGACACCCTGGAAAGAAGATATTGTATATAACCTTAAAGTCCCCATTCTGGAATAGCCCACCTTTGGACTTTTTCCAAATTCACTAGTGGTCATCCAAACAATTTATCAATTTGCAACTGGAATTTGAAGGCAAAACAAAAGCAACGTAAAACAAATCAGGATGAAGTTCAGGGATGGGAGATGGCTCAGTCAGTGAAAGCACAAGCCACACACATGCCTAACTACCCTTGAATCCACGTAAAAAGCAGGATGCGGTGGTCTGCATCTGTAACCCCAGCATTCCTACAGCAAGATGGGAGTTGGAGACTGGAGAACTGGCCAGACACCTATCAGCTACCAGGGCTGCAGCAGAGACAGAGACCCTGCCTCCAGGTGAAAGGTGAGAATCCACCCCCCAAAAGCTGTCTTGACCTCAACACGTTTGCTTCAGCACAGCAAGCCTGCCTGCACACACAGACACACATTTTTAAAAAGGATCAGGATGAATTGCATTTGGTCTCAAAAATAATTCAATAATCTTGTTATATACGTATGTTGGGACTTGGCTGACATTTAAAGTGAATTGTAAAAGATACTACAGTTGGAAAAACCATGGTCTGTCTCCTTCCTACTACTCAAACAAGGTTACCTGTTCTTACCACACATCTGCACTTTGTTATTCAGCCTAGCAAGCTCCAGCTGTCGTCACAGATTAGCTTCCTCTTTAACTCCTAAACACTTCATATCCAATTTAGATGGTGCATGCTTTTGTGTGGTCTACAAGCTACAATGGGACTAACATTTTTGTTGTTTTTAGACAGGGTTCCTGTAACCCTGGTTGGCCTGAAATTCAAAATATAGCCTAGGTGGTGATTCTCCTCCCTCTTCCTCCTAAGCACTGAGATTTCTGGCATGCTCCACCAACTCAGTTGGCTTTTACTTTTTTTGTTGTTGTTTTGAGACAGGGTCTCCCTATAGTCCCAGCTGGCCTAGAAGTCACTATGTAGACTATGTTGGCCTTGATCTCACAGAAATCCACCTGCCTCTGCCTCCCTGGCACTGGGATTAAAGGATGTGCTACTATATTTAGCTGGCTTTCACTTTTTCATTTTTTTCAGACAGGATCACCCTCTGTACCTCAAACAGGTCTGGACTTTGCTATGTAGAACAGGCTGAACTTGAACTCACAGAGATCCATCTGCCTCTGTCTCCCAAATGCTGGGATTAAAGTTGGATGCCATCATGCCCAGCTGTTTCACATTAAAATTTTTTATTTGGGCTGGAATGAGGGATCAGCGCATAAGAGCTCTTGCTGCTCTTCCAGAGGGCCTAGCCTGCTTTTCCAGATCCTAGCACCCACATGGTGACTCACAACTGCCTGCACAAATGTGGTGTACATACATACAGGCAGACACACATACACATAAAATTACATTTATTTATGTGTGTGCCTGCGGGTGCATGGGTGCCAGGGAATGTGTATGGAGGTCAGAGGACAACTTTTAGGAGTCAGTTCTTTCCTTTCATCATGTGGATCCTGGGGATTGATCAGGTTGTCAGGCTTAGCAGAAAGTGCCTCTACCTGCTGAGCCCTCTCTTCAGTCCAGCTTTACGGCTTTAAATGGTTTTAAAAAAAAATCAAAAGAAGCTGCATGTGGTAACACAGCACTGGGGAAGCTGAAGCAGAAAGATTGTGAGTTTGAGACTACAGTTGGAAAAACCACGGTCTGTCTCCTTCCTACTATTCAAACAAGGTTACCTGTTCTTACCACACATCTGCACTTTGTTATTCAGCCTAGCAAGCTCCAGCTGTTTTCACAGATTAGCTTCCTCTTTAACTCCTAAACACTTCATATCTTCATATCAAGAACATATCTCAAAAAAATTAAAAAATAATAAAGATTATGAAACTGTATGAAAGTCAACTGTCAATATCCACAAAGAGTTTTATCAAAACACTGCCACTCTTGCTTATTTATATATAAGCTATGACTGCTTTCACAGGAGCTAAGCAGTTTTCTTCAACTGACAATACATTTCACACAGCCAAAAAATATCTGACCTTTTGCAAAGAAAATTTGTCAATTCCTGCTATAACTCCTACCCTGTTTATTTAACCCTGTTTTTATTGTATTCAAGCTCTTACCATCACTTACAATTTCTTTAAAATAAGTTTTTTTGGAGTCGGGGGGTTGGCGCATGCCTTTAGTCCCAGCACTCTGGAGGTGGGGGGAGTGGCAGGCTGGGATTCTAAAGTGCTGGGATTCTAAAGGTGTGCATCACTATGCCTGGCTAAAAATAATTATCATTATTATTACTGTGTGCGTGAATGAATGAATGCAGGTGTGCACATGCTATGACACGTGTGGGGAGCAGAGGACAACTTTCAGGAGTTAGTTCTCTCCTTTGACTGTGGGTTCCCGGGACCATGCCCTTTTGTTTGTTTATTTTTCTCCAATAGCGGGTCTCATCATGTAGCCCAGACTCAACCTTCTGCTTCAGCCTCCTTAGTGGTAGGATCACAGGCAGACCCACACCCTTCTAATTATTCTCACTTAGGCCCACCCCGCCACCCCCGCCTGGGATATAAACCACAAGAGGCCAAGGGCTTTGTTTATTGCTACCCTGAGTCAAGCACAGTGCCTGAAACACAGCTACGGGCACAAGGCAAGCAGCCAGACTTAAGAAGTATTGGAGGGGCTGCATCAGCCTCCACATTCTAAGATTAAGACGTGCTTTATCATGTCTTCCTGCAAATTTTCAGGACCTTGCTCACCAGAAGAGTCTTCATCCACATTCTCATACTGTAGAAGTCGATCTAGAAGGAAACTGGGAGAAGTGGGAAGAATGATTATTCCCATTTTGGGGATGCTTTCTTGGGCTCCAGTCCCTCCTAGAACACTGGAGCCTTCAGAGCTCACGAATTTGCCGTCCTAGGCCAGGATAGAGCCTGAACGTGGATCCCCAGGAGTCACCCTGCTCTCATCCCCATAACGTGCCTCACCTCTTGTCCCTGGAAACCTTCAGCAATTTCCTCTGCGCCTTCCTGAGCTCCTCTTGGAAGCACTCGTGTTCCTGTATCGTAGGTAGGTAGGGCGCTGAGACAAGGGCGGTCCGTAAAAGGCCCAGAACCCGGAGACATCTCGCCCTACCTACCCCCCCCTTTAAAAATTGTTTATTTATTTATTTAATGTGTATGCATGTATTGCCTGCATGTAGGTAAGTGCACCCGTGTCGTGCAATGCCCGCGGAGGTCAGAAGAGGCTGTCAGATGCCCTAGGACTGGAGTTACGGACGGTTGTTGGCTGCCATGTGGGTGCTGGGATTCACCGGGTCTTATTGCCTGCATGTAGGTAAGTGCACCCGTGTCGTGCAATGCCCGCGGAGGTCAGAAGAGGCTGTCAGATGCCCTAGGACTGGAGTTACGGACGGTTGTTGGCTGCCATGTGGGTGCTGGGATTCGAACCGGGTCTTCTGCAAGAACAGCCAGTGTTCTTAACCGCTGAGCCATCTCTCCAGGCCCCCTACCTACCCCTTTTACAAAGAGGTAAACTGAGGTCTTCTCAGCGCCAGGCCGCACACTCCACAACCTCCCCACCCTAGCACTCACGTAAATGAGGAACTTGAGCTTCCGCTTCAGATTCCGGTATTTCTTTTTGTAGTCCACTTCGCCCTCCGCCGGTCCGTTCATGACCTGGCCCCGAGCAGCACTCCAGAGTCGAGTCCCGCTACCCAGTGCCAACTCAACCAGGCCTCGCGCCTTCACTTCCGGAGATTCTGCACAGCTTGACCCAAGCGGACTACAACTTCCAGCGTACTCCGCGCGCAGGGACCGCACTCACACGGACCGCCCTCCTAGGGAAGACGGCAAAGGAACGCAGCTTCCAATGGCTACGCAGGCGGAGAGGCGGCGGCACGATGATGTCATAGTGACGTCAGACGCCCGGGGCCGCAACTATTAACTCTAAACTGCTCCAAATGCCTTCCCCCGGAATCTTAGCGTGTTGGCAAGGATGCCCTCTCTTCTGCCTTTCGAAATAAGAGGCCTAGCTTGATGGTCGTGGTTACAGCGCAGCGCCGAGAGTTGATTACGGTACATTCAAAGAGCGAGGCGCCGAATCGGCGTCTAAGGAGAATCTTAAAAAACAAGTGGTTCTGATAAAGAGCACAAGCCCCGAGCCTCCAACTGGCCAGGGAAAGCCAGCTCTGTCAGGCAACGTTCTCGCCCAGCAGTCCGCAACGGAGGGCCAACTGTTCTGCCCCACGGTGCCGCCGCCCTGCGCGTGCGCAAACTACTGTCAAACGCACAGACCGCGGCCCGGAAGGAAAAAAGGCGGGAGCCGCCAATCCCGGGTGGGGCAAAATGGCGCCGGAAGATGAGATGCTAGAATTCACGCACAGCTTTTTCCGAGGCCGTCCTGACCTTAGGTGCGTAGGGGATTGGAGTTAGGATTGGAAAGGGCAGGGGTCGGACTGGGAATCGGTCTTGATGCGTGTCTCCGTAGCGCGCTCACGCACTCCATAGTGCGGCGGAAATTCTTGACTCACGTGGGCCGGAATCACCTGGAACCCGAGGAGAAGCAGGCACTGAAGCGGCTGGTGGAGGAGGAGCTGCTGAAGATGCAGGTGTGGGCATGAGGTGGGACAGGAGAGACAGGGTCTGTTGCTAAAGGTCTGTTGGGGGCAGGACACAACCTTGGTTCGATTTGCTGTACACAGGTGGATGCTGGTACCACGGAAGAAAAGCTAGATTTTATCAAAGTAAAGAGGCCTTCTGCCCCCTGCAGTGACCCAGAGAGAAAAAGGTTCCGCTTCAATTCCGAGTCAGGTCTGTGTTTCCTGCATCACTGGTTTACTCAGAAGTCATTGTGCATGTGTTGTGTTGCAAAGCGATAGAGGCAGCGGCAAGCAGTGAGTCAGGTAGAGCCACAGCTGTGCCTTCTGAGCCCTTCCCTCCGTGTAGGGCTAGAGGCACCCTCCCTTAAAGGAGGGAGAAGGGACAGAAGAACCTATCCCAACCCTGTCTTCTCGTGTTCCAGAGTCCAGCTCTGCACCCTCCAGCCCGGACTGCTTGGGACCCCCAGTAAAGAACAGGACAGCCAGGGAGGAAGAGGAGGAGCAGGAAAGTCCAAGGCCAGCCTTGAAGAAGGCAGTTGAAAGCACAGATGAAGAACAACAAACAGACCTGGTTGCGAAAATGGGATTGGAGGAGGGCAGTGAGGAGGAAGGGGAGGGCTCTGTCAGGTCAAGCAAGGTCTGGAAGGAAGAGAACAGTGAGGAAGATGATGATAGGGAAAAAGAACAGAACAACAGACCTAGGAAGAAGGCTGGGACCAAGAACAAGCCCGCACTACGAGAGGCCTCAGCCACTAAGAAGCAGGCCAGAGAAGAAAGTGAAAACAGTGAGGAAGAACCTGTCTTGAGGAGAGCCAAGAAGGTGGGGGGAAACAGAGGCACTAAGAGCTGCCAGGAAAGTGAAGACAGTGAAGAGGAGGTGACCCTAGCCAATAGAGGGGACAGGGAGCCCAGAGCAAAGAGCAAAAGTGGGGAGAGGACAGCTTGGGAGGGGATGGGTTATAAGCAGAAAAGCAGGCCTGGCAGGCTAACTGGAGACTTGAGGGACAGTGAGGAAGAGAAGGAAGAAGTGGCAGCAAACAGTGGGGACAAGAGCAGGGGAGATGAGTACCCAGTGCAGAGAAAGAGTGAGGGCAGGAAACAGCAGAGTGCAAGCAGTGAGGATAATGAAGACAGCAGAAAAGAGCAAGCAACTTCTCAAGACACTGCGAAGACAGGCAAGTGGGTTAACATCCGTGGTGAGAGTGACACTGAGAGGGAGATGAGTGAAGCAGAGGAGAGCCCCAAGGGAGAGAGGAAGAACCGCTCTTCTAGGAAGAGCTCCAAGAAAGGCAAAGCGCGAAGCTCCTCTTCCTCGTCAGATGGAAGTCCGGAGCCCAAAGGCCAGAAGGTGAGGGTGTGTACTAGGCGGGTGGCCTCCACTAGGGAAGAGGATGGGCCTTCAGCTGCAAATTCCTTGGTAGGCTAGCTCTCGTGGCTGTGGAGAGGACCACCCAGCTGTGGTGAGGCTAAAGCGCTATATTCGTGCTTGTGGTGCCCATCGAAACTATAAGAAGCTGCTGGGCTCCTGTCGCTCCCACAAGGAGCGTTTGTCTGTCCTCAGGGCTGAGCTGGAAGCCCTGGGCATGAAGGGTGAGTTGGCATGTGCTTTGGGGACTGCAGGAAGGCCTGGGCTGCTGGGGAAGAGAGGCTCACAGCTGCTTCTGCTCTAGGTAATCCTTCCTTGGAGAAGTGTCGGGCCCTGAAGGAGCAGCGGGAAGAGGCAGCCGAGGTGGCTTCCTTGGATGTTGCCAACATCATCAGTAGTTCAGGTAAGGAGTTTCTTCTTTTCCAGAGAGAAAGACGTTGGATAAATGAGATAACTAATCTTTCCCCACCTACCAGGCCGACCACGAAGACGCACTGCCTGGAATCCTTCAGGTGAAGCAGCCTCTGCAAGGGAGCTGTATCACCGAACCCTGGACTCCGAAGAAGAACGGCCACGTCAGGGACCTCCAGACTGGTCCCATATGCGTGGCATCATCAGCAGTGATGGTGAGAGCAGCTGAGCTCCATCTCTCAGGAGGGATAAGAACCTGCAGAGCTGAGGCAGCTTTCAGAGGAGGAAAACTACAGCCCCAGGGACTAAGTTGTTGGCACACTACTCACTTTTATGTTCTTGGTTTAAGGTTTTTTTTTCCTCTTTTCAAGACTTAATAAAGGAATGTTTGTAATCACTTCATCTGAACTGGTCCGTCACTCTCATACCGTCCTTTGTGCTAGGAAGCTGGGAAGTAGCCACTGTAGCCACTGGCCTAGTTCTCTTATATTTTCCAGGTGTCCTTCACTCCAGGACCATATCATCCAGTCTGCCACCAGGCCATATCAGAAGGTATCAGAGGGTGTGGCTCCTATTCCTCTTACAGCACAACCAGTTGGTTTCTCTAATCAAACTAGCTTGAAGAATGTGAAGCACCAAAAATAAAGGATAGTGCTTGCCTAGCATGCACAGGACCTGGTTCTCAGTCCCACCACGCTCTCCCCTCAAAGAAAGCAGCACAAACTCAGGCTCAGCTATTGTTCACCAGAGGCTCTTTTTTTTTGCCTTAAAGAAGCAGGTACAGTAAAGCCAGCTGGCCAATTAGACCCCTATAAACATCTGCAGAAATTCTGTGTCCAGGCACCTACTAAGATGTAGACATGGTCTGTTGGGGGTTTGTGCATGAAGTGAACCTTCTGGGAATCTGAGGGTTGAACAGGCTGTGACCTTCCAAACATACCTACAATCATTAAAATCACTAGAATTTTAATTAGTCCATTAAAATACAAGTAACATTATCACGTGCCACTGAACAATCCTTCGTACACACCTTAGACAGAAAAGAAGTCCTGGGGTCTGTTAGAATAACCAACAGTTTATTAAAAGCTTTCTCTGGGGCTCTGTGCCAGCCCCATAGCTGAGAGGGGCTCCCATAACTGCTCCCAGTATTGGGAACAGCCCTTTCCAAGGTCCTTCCCCTTGTCCCCCGCCCCAGCCCTGACCCCAATTTAAAAAAAGATAAATGAAAAAAAAAAAAAAAAAAAAAGGACAAGACGGCACAGGACGTCAGACAGCAACAGAATGGTGCGACCCAGGCATCCTGACCCCAAGATCCCTATCCTGATCCTTCTGGAGGAAGGCCTCCTCTCTTTCTCCCCGCTTTGGGTTCCAGACCTGCTCTTCCATATTCAGGTGTGTGTGTGTGTGTGTGTGGTGGGGTGTCGTCCCCAGTCCATGGCCCTATCACAAGGGTAGTATAGTTCTTTGAATATAATATATCTAGACAATGCAGTCCCTATATGTCTACGTTTGTTGACTGTAGGTGAAGTGTGTGTGTGTGTCCATATTCAGGTGTGTGTGTGTGTGTGTGGTGGGGTGTCGTCCCCAGTCCATGGCCCTATCACAAGGGTAGTATAGTTCTTTGAATATAATATATCTAGACCCACCCTTCCCCTCCCCCAGGGGACTAGATGAATATTTGACACAGTTCCCTCCTTTTCTAGGAGGTGATGGAGGGAGACCCTGGCACCATGGTGGGGAGGCAGGGCTCCTGGTCAGCCTTGGGGCACCAATGCCCAAGCTGGCCTGGGGTCACTGACCAGCCCCAAGAAGCTCATGAGATGAGGAGGTCTGATGGGAGCTGGAGCCTACATCCTGTCCCCACCACTCTCGGGTGGGCCTTAAGCTTACTGCCTGTAGACACAGGCTCTACCCACTCCCATCTTGCCCCAGTCACCTGCTCACCCACTCTGCACTTCAGGAGTAAAAGTGGGAGGAACCATTGAGGATGTGGGAAGCAACACTGGTGCTGCGGCTCAGCGGCCCTGGAACTGCGGCAGCAGGTGGACCCACGTTTTCAGTGCTGCTGCCGCCTGAGGCTGCCCGCCGTAAGGGCTGAGGGCTGTTTCTTAGCAGCAGCAGAGCTCCACCACGGGGTGTTCCACTCTGTGTTGGGGGTCCCAGCCAGTTTGGAGGACCTGGGGGAGCCAGCAAGGCTGGCTGACGCCAAGCCGGGGGCGGCATGCCTGGTGGAGGTGGGCCGTGGCTCCAGTGGGCCCCTGATCGGGGAACTGGGCGGGAGGGCCAGGCAGGGGCAGGGGGCGGAGCAGGATAGCCCTGGGCAGCAGCTTCGGCTGGAATGCCCCCCAGAGCCATGCTGGAGAAGCCAAGCCTCATGCTCTCAGCATCGAAGGCCTCAATCTCCCGGGCCTGTCGCTCGAGCAAACTCCGGATTCGCTCAGAGCGCCCTGTCTGCAGGGCCAGCAGCTCTTCTTCCACCTGGGACACCCAAAAATGGGGTGAGAGTCCTGGAGTGGAGAGCCTGCCCTCCCTCTCTCATCCTGAGGGGTAGGCCCCTTACCCGTTGCTCTAACAGCGCCCGCCTCAGCGCTACTCTCTGTTCCAGCTCTCGAAGCTCTCGCTCATGCTGGCTTTCTGTGCGGATCTTGATCTTGCTCTGGTAGGCATTGAGGAGCTCCAGTTCTTGTTGAAGCTGCTGTCGCAGGGCCTGGAACTCTGCCTCCTGAGTCTCATCAAGCCGGAGCTGGAGGAGAGGAAGAGCTGGGTTTAGGGAGCTCTTCCTCAGTCCCCACCATCCTCCCCTGCCCCAGTAGGCCTGGGCCCTGAGGTGGCAAGGAGCAGCAGTCTCAACCTCTATCAGAATGGAAGATGGTCATACCCTGTAGCACAGCAATTACACTTGCAGGAATCTATCCCCCAGGTATACTTGCACATGTGCTCGAGGTGTTCACGGAAGCGTTGTGATAGCAAAATGCTGGAAACAACCTAAATGTCCACCAATAAGGGATGGGTTAAATAAATTATGGTAGTCATACCATGGAAAATTATATCCTGTAAAAAATGAGATATGTGATATGTGTATGGAATGATGTCCAAGAAATACTGCATAGAAAAAGGAAGTTAGGACACTAAAGTCTGTTCTATTTGTGCTTAAATTTTGATATGATTTTCCAAATATGTTTGGAACCATCTACAAAAGTAATCATTAGGAAGTTACCTCTGAGAAGAAAGATGGGACCGAGTGAGAATGGGGCCTTCTGATTGCACTCCTTGGACGTTTTAAGCAGCCTGCTCCAGTGTTGTGTATGGTCAGTTTTCAGAAAAGCAACCTTCCAAATCTGAGGTCTGAGTAAATGGATCTGAGGACCGCACTCACTGTAATCTACTCCTTGTTCACACAGTAAACCAACTCAGGCCCAGAAAAATATTAATAGAGCCATTGTTTTCCTTGGTGGCAGAGTGGGCAGGATGACTTTGTCAAGACATTAGGAAAATACTAAGAGAAATAAAGATCCCTGAAAAGAATATGAAACCAACACTGCGAAGAGTACCAGTAGTGGAAAGCACCCAAGATTCCCAAGTCCAAAAGTTCGATCCACACCGCCCCACTTCCTTTGCTGAAACTAGGTTAGAAATAGAGGCTACCTCCATGTCTCCCTCCCAGACCCCAGGCCTCACCGCCTGTGAGCTGAGCATCTCTGAAATGGACTGGTCATACTGCTCGGCCAGGATTGCCAGCTTTCGGGTCTGTTCCTCCTTGAGCCGCTTAAGGAGGCTCTTGTGCTGAGCTTTGGGCGTGGTCTCCAGCAAGTGCGCTCGTAGAGCCTTGTATTGTCGAGTCTGGATCTTACACGTCTCCTGGAACTGCTTCTTGATCTGCAGCTCCTTCGACTGTGCAGTGGACGGATCAAGGGGAAATGGGGCAGGGAAGGAGAGGAAGAGGAGGAACAACGAGGGAAAAGGGAGAAGAGAAGGAGGAAGGAGACAGAAGCAGAGACAGGGAGAGGGAGAGAAACAGAAAACATGTTAGACAGAGGGGGCGGGGGGAGCTGTACACAGACAGACGTGGAGAGATGGGACTGTTTCAAGAGATCAAGAAGGTCTCAATGGGCAAGAGAGGCAGAGAAACAAGACAGGTTCTGAGAGTACATCCAGAGTTGTGTGGGATGTCACAGGAAAGTACGTAGAGTTCAGACAAGGAATCTAGAGGATGGAGTGTACAACAGAAGCTTTGACCATGCAAAGTGGGAGAAAGTATAATCGTGAGATAGAAGCGTGAGAGCATGTTTAAGAATGTCCAAAGACTGAGTGAGAAGACTTAAGTCACATAATACCCATGAAGTGGCACTACAACTAAGGACAGGCAGAGAAGTCCTAGGTCCAGCACCTCAGGGCAGGCAGGAAGAAACTCCGAGCTGAGGCACGGGTAAGAGGCTGCCCTGCTTTGGGCCACAGAAGGGAAAGGGCCAAAGATGGCCAGAAAAATGTCGGACCAGTTCAACAGGCAGCAGCTGCCATCCTGACCAGAGCCACATTCTAGCCCAGCCCCTACATACTAAGCTCCCACTCCAAGCCCATGGTAATCCCAGGGCTCTAGCCCATACACTCTGCTTGGTCCCCAGCCCACCAACCCTCAACTGTGGAGGGTCTGTGGTCCCAGCCCCCAACCCTCTAGGCTGATGCCTGGTACACATGAGAGATGCAGCTCCAAACCATGTAGGCAATTGGGAGTAAAGGAAGGTGCAAAGAGACCAAAGGACTTTGACCCTAAGGGCTCTCTGAAGGATCCCACAAACGGAACCTTGAGATCGTGAAGTTCTGTGGAAGCCCCACAGGGATTCTTAGCCCAGGGCTGGTGGTGGTCATGGTGCAATGAAGCTATGAAGGCAAAAAGGATGAGGCTGAGGAGTGAAAGGAGTGGAGACAACGGAGATGGGGTGAAGAGGTCATGGAGCTGAGGGGCCAAGGGTCCAGATTGGGCGTAAACCAGGGAGGCTAGGCGGCAGGACAAAGCAGACAGAGGCAGCCTGGGCCAAAGGTATAGTTCCGCTCAGATATTTTATTTGTGTTTGTCTTTTTCTTTTTTTTCTTTTTGGTGGGGGAGGGAAGGGGACAGGTTGGAAGGGAGACAGAAAAACAAAATCAAAGAGGGGAAAAAACAACAAAAAAACCCCATGACATCCCTCCCTGCCACCCCTGGCCCCAGGCCTGAGCCGATGAGGGTGAGGATGAGCACACACACAGCAGGGGGAACAGTAATAACTTAAAGGGTTGGGAGAACACAGAGTGTCACTTCTGGACTCCATAGCAGAAGAGACTGCCTGTCTAGGGGTCTCAGGGGCTGGGCCTGGGGAAACATACTGAGGAAGAAGGGTCAGAAGGGAGGAGAGGGCTGGTGACTGGAGAAACTTCACTGAGTTATGGGAGATAAAGTGCTCGATGCTCTCAATAGGGTTGGAATTGGTTACCTCCAAGGAGGCAGAGCCCTGCGGGTCCGGGATCTCCGCCCAGCTACAGTACCTGGTGGTAGCTGTGGGGAGGCAGGGAGCCCAAACTGGCGTTGGCTGCGTGGTAGCAGCCGAGGGATCCGACTGGGTCGTTCACCCTTAAGCAGGCCCCAACTGGCAAGTGTGTGGATGGCCCAGGGGGGTAAGTGAGAGGCTAAACTGTGGCTGGCCCGTGCTAGGCGCCAGTTCCAGCCCTTGCACAGAGCCCAAATCCTTGCCAACAGAGCTAGTGGGCGCTGAGCAGTGCGAGGATTTCCCTGACCGGGCCAAGGGACAGGTAGTCGGCTTCGGAAACCATTCTTGTTGGTCTTGGGGTAGAGTGCAAACAGGCCCCGGTCTCCCACAGCCCCACAGCCCTGTAGGGCCCGGAAGGCCATGGGTGACAGGCGCAGTAGAACCCGCAACCAGAGTCGAGAGATGCCTCTGCGCAACCGTGGGCCTTGCTGTCGCACCCATTTGCCCCCAGCTGCCATAGCTGCCAGAGGTAGAGCTAGGCTAGGCCAAGCTAGGAGCCAGGCAGCCCCAAGGCCTAGAGGCACGCCCATAAGGCCTCGGCGCCAGCTCAGGCCCAGGACAGCCCCCAGTGCAGTACCCTGGGCCAGGAGTAAGAACAGACTCGGGGGCAGGTGTAGAGCTGTACAAAGGAGCAGGTAGGAGGCCCCCAGGCCCACTAGTCCCACTTCAAGGGCCAGCAGCGCTGCCTGCAAGCCACCCCCACCCTGGGCTGCCAGCAGTGGGAGTAGCAGCAGGAGGAGTAGGGGCAGAAGGCCAGAAGAGGACCCTACTGCAAAGGAGAGGCCAGCTAGGAGGCCATGAGATAGGAGTCCAGGGAGCTGGCTAGCAGGGCACGGCCTCAGATGTGGCGGAGGTGGCTCTGGAGGGATGTCTGGGGAAGGACAACCATCCCCAGGATCCCTAGGGGTTCCAATCGGAGCCCCCTCTTCCTCTTCCTCCTCCTCCTCAGGGACTGGAGTCAGTGCAGGACCCTGGACCCAGCCAAGCTCGAACTCCACATCCACAAGGCTCCCATCCTCCTTCCCCCACAAACTCCATGCCCCAGTCTCTTCCTGGCCAACAATACTCCTCTCCTGGGGTGCCGGTGATGGGACTCTAATCTCCTCCATATCTTCCTCAGGTATACCCCAATCTTCCTCATCAACCAGACTCCTATGTTTTTGTGGACTGGGACTAAAGGTTCCTGATTCTTCCCCCAGAATCCTCAGCTCCTCTGGCTCCAAGATGGTCCCTTCCTTTCCCAGAATCCTTCTCTCTGGCACTGCTTTCTCCTCTGCCAGCATCCTTTGGTCCAGGACTGCCTCCTGGCCAGATGGGCAGGGCTGCTCTTCACTAGGGGTGCCTGTGCTCAGTGGTCCCAGAGCCCCAGTATCGGGGAGGCCCATGGGGCGCTGGCCTGCACGTACTTTGAGGCTCTTGGGCTGCTGGCGAACCTGGGCTGCATGCTTCTGTCGTAACTCTTGCTCCCGTCGCTTGTTGTATTCCAGCTGGTTACCCAACTCTGTCTGGTGCTGGAGGCGGGTGAGCTCAGCACGTGTGCGCTGTACGGCCTGGAGTTGTCGCAGCTCCAGCTCTCGGGTGGCCTCATGCTGCCTCAACAGCAGAGCACATTCCAAGTCCTTCTGTGTCTGTTTCTTGTTCAAGTCCTGAGGCAGAAAAAAGACAGGATCTATGGCCCAGTCAGGGAGCCTTGTTGGTATCAAAGAAGCAGAATTAAGAGCACAGAACTCCTGGGCACAGTGAGCCTCAGAAGGGGTTGGGGTGGGGGATGGGGAGAGAGGAATGTATGCTCTTGGTTGGCCTAGGAGCAGTATGCCTAGGGACATCCTAGCAAGGTCCAACAGGGATGGAAAGCAAGAAGGAAGCTGAAGACTAGGAGGAGGGGAGAAAGAAGGGTTAGTGAGGCAATCGAAAGGAGATGCTAGGACCCTTGACCAAGTGGAGAGGAAGGGTATGTGGGGCAGGCCTACCTCTCGAAGCAGGTCCTGGTCTAGGCTATGACGGGCCAGCAGCATCTTGCGCTTGTACTGGCGACACTGTAGCTCAAAGTATTGGCGCTGCCGCCGCAGCAGCCCTGCTTCCTCCTCTGCCTGGCACTGCTGCAGCTGCTCCTTCTGCCGCAGTAGCCACTCGGCCTTCTCCCGCTTAGGTGTACTAGGATTCTCCTGGAGCTCCTGGCAGAACAGAGAGGGATCTGGTCAGGGCCTGCCATTGCCCAGCCTACCTCCTGGCCCTTGGCTCACCCAGGGCAGTTCTGGCCAACCTCCTTCAACTGTTCCTTCCGAAGTTTATAGGTTCGCTTTTGTGCCTCCAGCAGGGCTGCCAACTCCTTCTTCTGCTGCCCAAGGATGTGCTGTTGGAACTTCCGTTCCTCAGCCTGAGCAGCTCGTGCCTCTTTCTCTCCAATGGCCTGGTGTCGCCGCGCCAGCTTTTCAGCCTCAGCGCCAAAGCCAGCCCGTTGTGCTTCAAGTTCCCGCTGCAGCCGCCCACTGTGCTCCTCTCGCTCACCCCTCAGCCGGGATTCCAGGGCCAGCAGCTGCTTCTGGTGCTGACGCCGCATCCGCTTGTAGCCACTTAGTTGTTCCCGCAGGGCCGAGTCTTGCTCATGTTCCTGGATCTGACGGCTGACCTGGCGTAGAAGAGAGGATGTGAAGTGGGGCTCCATTTTACTCACACAAATATGGAGAAGAACAAGGTTTTCAGACTCATGATTTCATTGTTAGTTAGCAGCTTCCCCATACTTAACCTCTCTGACTCTACTTCCTCAATTGGATAATTATCTACATCATGGATTGGTGTGATACACTGAGATGATAAAATTAAGCACAGATTCTGGCACAAAAGCAGGAACAATTCAAATTAGTTCAAAAGAATGAACCAGATGTATCTGGGCTCAGACCCCACACTGCTAATTATTATCTCACTATTTCAATCAAGTTAACTTCTCACACCACCAATTCCCTCATCTGTTACACAGACCAGCAATACCTTTGCACAGACAAGTGTGCCACTCAGAGAAGATTAAAGCAGTAGGTGCTGACATCTTTCTCCTTCAGTGGACACTGAGGGCCTATCATGCTCTAGGTACTAAGCTGGGATCTGGGGTCTGAGATGTTAACTCTGGACCTGAATATCCTCACCTAAGTGGTGATCTCTGTTCCATCAGTGGCTCTTACACTAGTTTATGCTGCCTCTCTGCACATTACCACAAAGCATGAACAGAGCTTGAAGACTATTCTAGAAAAACCCCAACCACAGGCAGAAGCTCTAAGAACACTCAAACTTATCCAGTGGCCTCTAAGAGCTGTTGGTACTCAACTGCAGCAAAGCTGGAATGTGACCTAAAGGTCTAGTAAGAGCATGAATAGAAAGCTGCTTTATGAAAAGCCTAAACTTGCTGGGCGTGGTAAAATATGCCTATAAATCCCAGGACTCAAGAAACTAATGCAGAAGGATTGCAAGTTCAAAACTAATAAATTAAAAAAAAAAAAATCTAACCATTTTTATATTAACTAAGAAAGGTGACTTGATTTTAGTTGACTAAGGTCCTACTTACAAGAATGGGACCCACCCAAAGGTACCTGGGCAAGTACCTTGGGCAAACAGCCTCCCTAAGCCACAGTGGCCTCAAATCTTAACTGGGATCCAACCCTTCCCCTCCCAGGGAAGCCAGAAAGATTAAACAAACAGCGAGTCAATGGCATGAGGAAGATCTTTGAACCCCACCCTTGTCCTCCACAGTACACTGCCACCAGGAGTACCACAGCAGGGTGGATGTGCCTGCCCAGGGATGTGAAGCACCTGGCTGGCCAGAGAGCCCAGAAGGCCTCCAGAAGCTGTGATTGCAGCCAGGCCTCAGATTGGGCAATGTGATCAGTCTGGTGGGAGGTGGGAAGAGGGAGCAGGGAAGGCCAAGGAGAGAAGGCAGCACAGCACCACAGATAGGAATCTGTAGCACATCGTTTCTGGACTTCTGTCTGGTACACCCAGGCCACATAGAAAAAAAGGATCACAAAGTAGCCAAGTGAGGATGGTCACACTTACCAGGGAGGCAGTACGGATGGTGGCAAAATGGTCTCGGTTGCGGCAATAAGCCCGGCGGCGGGCAGAAGAAGTGGTGGAGGTGGGAGTTGGGGCTGCAGGTGGTTGGAGTGGACCTGGGGTCATCTCTGGCTGATAGGGGTCATCATACAGGTTGTCTGAGCCCTGTAAGAAGTGAAGGTGGAAGGGATGCTCAAGGTTCAAGTGCCAATGGGCACAAGGGGAGTTACCTGAGACTCACTCATTCTTAGATAAACAGTCATGCTGAGGGAAGGAGAGCAGGGACCCAGGTGGTTCCTGAGCAAAACAGCCCAGGTTTAGCCTCTTGTCCAGTAGGCTGTACAGGGTGAACTGCGTACCGGCAGCCGGTGGATGATGGAGCTGTGGGAAGTGACTGTATGCTCCCCCTCCTGCATCATGGCCATCTCTCGGGTTTCAGGGCCTTCCTCTTCCTCTTCTTCCTCCTCCTCCTCCTCTTCTTCTTCCTCCTCATTGTCAGAGGCATCTGCTAGGCTGTTGACTGAACTGCTCTGGCTGGAGGCACTGATGGACATGCTGGGCACTGAGTGGCTACTCTCTAGACTGGTCAATGTCCCTGCTCTGTGCATGTAGGGCTCTGCCTCCTGTGAACAGGGTGTGAGCTGTTGGGCAGGGAAAGGGAAGGACAAAGGGTATGTGCATGTAGTAGTACAAGGAGACAGAAAGTGTGAAGACAGGTGGGGAAGAGAGGCTTAGCTCAACATGAAGTGGGGAGAGGATCAGGGTATCAGGGTAAGTTAGGTCACCTCCTCTTCCTCTGGGGCCTCAGCACCAGGGCCATTGGGTGCCTCTTGGAATAGTATCTTCTTCATCTTGCGGTACTGCAGGTTGTCTAACTCCCGTACAGCATCCTTGGTCCTCTGGATGAGGTCCATAATGACTGTGGGCGGCCTCTCCCGGAGCACGAAGCGGTGCTGTGGAAATAGAACACTAAGACCTGTTGTCAACTCCTCCCCACTCCCTCTAGATCCCAAGCCTCTCAGCATTCCCTCGAGGCTAAGGTATTTTGCTGAGGCCGAAGCCACCACAGGCAGAGGTTTTCTTAATCCCTTTCCCACAAACATTTTCCCAACCACCCCATCTCTGCTCTCTAGACAGTCTTACTCCTCCAGGCCTGGCTGACAGGTAAGGTAGTCAGATCTGGATTCTAATCCTACTCCATTATCGAAGTGTTAAGTGGCCTTGGCTAGCTCATGAGGCCTCTTGGGACCTCATAAATTATATCATAAAGCCAGTAGGTTGATCTAGCAGTTTAAGTCAGTCTCAATTAGGGCTTCTAGGATGATCTGAATCTGTGAAGGGAATAAGGTTCCTTCAATTTTGATACCTTAAAAACACCTAAGGGAAATCACACATATACCCATAAGGCTACACAGGGTTTTGGTTTGAATTACATCAGAGCAGTGTGGTAAACCAGATTATAGCATGCTGACTAGACGTTCTGCCTGTCAATTATACATATATCTTTGATTAATAAAAGATGGGAAAACACATTATTTCTTAAATTAAGGCAGTCTAGTAGACAAAATCTGTCAAAACATAGGGGAACAAGCTAGGGTCTGGGGTGGGAATTCATAAATGGAAGCTTCCTGGAGGAGGAAAAATTGGGAGTCACTGATTTCACTGAGGTTTCTGTGGCTCTATCAGTTACAGCTCTAGTACACTAGGCCAGTGAACACTCACCTTTAGAAGAATCTCTGAAGTTGGTCTATCTTGAGGGATTTTCTGAAGACAGGAATCAACAAAATTCCGGAAGTACTCAGACCTGAAGTTCCAGAAAGTAGGAGACAGGCAGGGAGGGTGTGAGCCAGGTGGACAGGCCCCATAACCTAACCCTGGGCCCAGAAATCCCAGTCCTCACCAGTGTCCTGACTGGAGAGCAGGGGACTCATTCTGTGCAATGTGGTATAAGGCACTCATTGCATTCATGTTGAACAGTGGTGGTTTCCGCTCCGCTACACAAGGACAAGGGAAGAAGGCAACAAGCGGCAGATGGTCAGAAGCTAGAAGGGAACTCAAAATGTGTTGGGTTCAAGTCCCAGCTCCCTGACTTCCTTGCTGCTTGACCTTGAGCAATTCCCACAATCCTGTTGAGTCTTAATTTCTTCCTCAGTAAACTGCAACACCAATCCTACCTGCTGCACATAGGTAGAATAGGGGTTAAAGAAAATAGAGTCAAAGCACCAAAAGGCAAGAAGAAGCACCCTCAGTTATCAGCCCAATTAGTACTTATGAGGGTCTAATTTGCCATCATGGGAAAGACAAAGAAAAACAAGGAACATGCCTGTGTTCAAGTAACTTCCAGTCTAAAAAGATTAAATGGACTAAACAATTAGCCTAAGACTAAAACTGGGGATGTACCTCAGCAGTAGAATGTTTGCCTAGGATGGCCAGGCCCTAGATTTGATCCCCAGTACCACCAAAACAAACAAACAAAACCTCTAACTAACAAACATCAAATTAAGGTTAATTGGGATTAAGAGGGAAACAGGAAATGGGTAGGAAGTTGAGGGCGTTCAATGGCTCTTTAAGCCAACAAATCTGCAGGGAACTCTGGAGGTCTCTTGGAAAAGGGAACACTGAAGGTAAGCTTCAGACTAGAAGCTGCAAGCCAGGAGCTCCTGGAAGCCCAGGCAATGTTGTTTGTTTTCAGCCTAAACAGTGATTTTAAAAAATTAATTGCCAGTGCTAGAGAGATGGTTCAGTGGTCAAGAGCACTGTTTGCTCTTCCAGAGACCCGGGTTCAGCTCTTTGCAACCATGTGGCAGCTAACCACTATCCATAACACCAGGGGATCAGATGCCCTCTTCTGGCCTCTGTGGCTACTGCATGCATGGGGGGACCTACATACATGCAGGCAAAATACTCATACACAAAAACAAAAAACTTAATTGCCAACAATAAGAATGTAAATTTCCACAGTTTTTCTTAAAGAATGGTGAAATGGAATCTATATTCCTACCTAACAACAGGCAGGAACTAAGCAACAGCTACCCTACAGAGGAACAGTAACTTCTAGTTTGCCCTGCCTTCCTCCCTATTGCGCCACTGATACCGATTCTGATTATCAGCTGCTGTGTATAATCAGGCTTCCCAATAGTAGAGAACAATTTCTGTGCACCCATGTCTCTATAAAAACTAGGAATAAAAAACAAATAAACAACAAACAAGGAATACAATGGACAGATCTAGCTGTTTCTTCTCTATGGCCTGTTTCATACATTTCATTATCCTGGCCCCAAATGGTAAATGTAGTATGTGGTGAGCAGGTCTAAATCTCTGACTTCAGGCACAGGAAATTATACAAACCAAGGCAAAAAAGTGGGAAAGTTCATAACATGCTCCATGTGGGTAGAGCCCATGAAGCCAAGAGTCAACATTTAGGAAGCAGAGCCTCTAACCTAGTATAAGGAAGCTGGGGATGGCTTCAATCTAGCAGGCAACAGGGAGCCACAGATGGCTCTGAGCAGGGAATGCAATGACGACACTGAGCTTAGGCAGATCTCTCTGGCGTCACTACATAAGAGACTATAAAGGAGACTGGCATGGGAAAGCTCTCTGGAGAAGCTGTAAGAATAACTAATTCTTCTTGGGCAACTATTTTATGTCCGGCACTGTGCCGGCAGTCTTAAAAGCATTATCCCATTAGACAACTGCTTCAACAGCATAGTGTGGCAGAGATGAGAGCCCCAACATGGCTCCAAGGTCTCAGGTCCTCAGTTGGGCTTACCTTTGGGGCCCTATCACTCACTTTACATATGCTTCAGTTACAAACTGAAGCTAGCCTTGGCTCCTCAGGCCTGCTCTTATCTCTAAGCTTCTGCAATGCCGCCTTCTATTTTGGAATGCTCTTTCCTGTATCCTTCCAACAGCTCTGTCTTGTGGATTTGCTTAAACCTTTCTGCTACAGGCCTTAAACTAGGTCAAGTTTTACCTGTGTACCATTCCTGGAGTTTCTCCACTCTTATCCCATGCCTGGTTTCCCTACTTTAATGTAGGTTCCATAGGGGCAGGAATCTTACCATTGTACCCCAAGAACCTAGCAGAACTAGTAGCCTAGTACACACATGAGCACTCAAAACAGATTCAGAACCTAGGAGGTAGACAAGAAGCAAGAACTGCTAAAAAATCTTCAGGTGTAAAAATTGGCAGGGTTTGACAGCTGCTTGTATCAAGGCTCTAGGGTAGTCAAAATGGACAGGAGGAGCTTAGAGACCTGTATCCATGGGATGGGGACAGGAACAGAAAGGAATGAACAAGAGTCTGAGGGGACAGAGAGGACATCCTTACCCAGCTCGATACAGGTTATCCCCAAGGACCAGACATCCACCTTGCCATCATATTGCCCTTCATCCATGGCCAGGATCACCTCCGGAGCCATCCTGAGAGGACAGTAGGAAAGAGAGGCTAACCACTCACCCAGACACTGTACTTCCTACTGCCAACATCCCAGGAATCCCCACTCACCAGTATGGGGTGCCCACAAAGGAGTTGGCAGGTGCCATGATAGATGCGGAGCCAAAGTCCCCCAGTTTCACCAAGCCTGGCTCAGACAGCAGGATGTTTCCAGCTTTCACATCCCTGCCAGAGGCAAAATACAAAGATGAGAAATGCATCTGAGAAAAACTGGTGAGGGGCTTTAACAGTGCCCAAGACAGGCGCCGCTCAGTGAGATGAGGAGTGGCACAGAAAGCATCCCACTCTCGGCCATGGTTGGTGCTGTTGTACCTATGGATCATGTTGTGTGAGTGTAGATATGCCAGGCCCTGTAGTGCCCCATGGGTCACCGCTGCAATTTCCACCTCCTGAAGGGGCTTCTTGTGCACTGTAGAAAGGAAAACAACAAACTGAGGGAGCCCACAGAGGAACTGGAGTAAGCTACCCCCATCTCTCTCTCCTATAGCTTTTCGGTTCGCCCTTACTCTGCTTTCTGAGTTACTTACCTTCTAGAAGATCAGAAGCTGAGCCCAGGCAATACTCCATCACCAGCTAAGAAAGGGTCAAGTGTTAGAGATCAGCAGATGCTGGCCACCCCTGGCCCAGCTCTCCTCTGAGCAGAGACTCAAAACAGAATTTTCTTGTTTATCTTCCACTCAGGCAATGCCCCAAGGGTAATGATAGAGGGGAAGGGCAGCTAGAGAAAACAAGAGGTGGTAGGAGGTGGACTCAAGGACTTCCCTAGAAAGATCCTAAGGCTCTTACCATCACTCCCAATCTGGATCCCTTTAAAGCCCCCTTCAGTTTTCACCTCCTAAAGCACACACGCCCCCTCTGCTTGCTGTCTCTGCCACTCTGGGCCAGTCTCTCTGTCTGCACCTACACTGATGCTCATGGGTCTTTCTAACTTTCTTTCTCTTTCTCTCTCTTCCTCCCGATTCCTTTCTTTTGATATAGGGTCTTGTTGCATAAGCCCAGCTGGCCTGGAACTTGCTATGTAGACCACGTTGGTCTCCAATTCATAGAGAGCTGCCTGCCTCTGCCTCCTAAGTGCTGGAATTAAAGGCATGCCACTACCATGCCTGGCTCCTGGTTTTTCTGAGGACTAAAGTGGTCAGAGACTGCCCACTTAGGAAGCTGGACCAGGAAAAGATTGGTCTGAGTAAAGAGGAGGAGACAGCTCACCCAAGCCGTGTGCTCCCTCAGGTAACAGCCCCGGTATTGAATAGTATTGGGATGCCGGAGCTTCTGTAAGAACCGCACCTCCTTGATGATGTCCTGCCATTTCTAGGAGGTCAAGAGAGGAGGGAGTTATCCAGCCTGCATGTTGAGACTGAAACTCTTTGCCCCCTGACCTGATCCTAACAAGCCTGACTCACCTCATTTGATTGCTTCCCACTATAGGACATCTTCTTGATGGCCACCACCTCATTGTTTCGGACATCCCGGGCCTAGAGGACCAGATTGGAGGGTGGAGTTGATTGGAGATCCACCAGATTAAGAAAGCCTCCACCCTTGCTTTATCCTCCCAAAACCCAACTCACAAAGTACACAGCTCCAAAACTGCCATGGCCAATTTCCCGGAGGTCAGAGAAGAGCTTTTCAGGGTCATCCTTGAAGAAGAGTTCGGCTACATCAGGGTCCTTCAGGCTCCCGGCCCGGCCCCCAGCTGGCATGATGGCCCCTGGGGGCCCTGAGATTGGGGCCTTGCCTAGGAAGTGCAGACAGGACCTTTAGAGCAAAGACAGGGCCCAGAGAAAAAGAAAAGGCCTCCCAAATGTCTGCATTCTCCTTCCCTCATTCACTGATGAGGGAGAGGTACTATGGACAAAGGGTAGGGGCATATTAGGAACAACATCCAATCTCCAAAAAAATGAAATCTGTCCTGGCAACTAGGTCATGGGGGCCAGGTTTCTGGAGTTCCTAAATTATTAGAAAGAGAACTCTGGGAAGCTAAGCATCCTCATTAACCTCCTCAGCCCCCATCAACTTCCCAGTTCCCTATAAGCCATTATTCCCCTCAAGGATAAAAGGTTCCCAGCCAGAGCTCTAGATCCCCACATGTCCTGCCCTACAAGTTCCCATACCCCAGTGATTTCCAGGCACCTTCCTGCCCTTTAGTGCTGAGTCCCCCTCCCTCCTTCAACCTCTCACACCCTGGATGAGAACAGGAAACTGTCAGGCCGGAGGTGGTGGAAATCCGGCCATTGTTAGAAGTGGGTACTGGCCTGAAGGGCCAGGAGATTCATTTTCAAAAATGGTAAGAGATAGCAGTGGCAGGGAGAAAATCCAGAATGGGAAAGGCAGGGACATAAATGGCACCTGGCTTTGAGGGCCTCTGTGCTCTGGGCTGCTTCCACTTCCATAAGCACCACATAAAAGTATGGGAGGTGGCTGGGCGTGGTAGCGCACGCCTTTAATCCCAGCACACGGGAGGCAGAGGCAGGCGGATCTCTGTGAGTTCGAGGCCAGCCTGGTCTACATAGTGAGTTCCAGGACAGCTGGGGCTACAGAGAGACCCCGTCTCAAAAAGACCCCCCCCAAAAAAAAGGGAGGTTTGTGGGTCACAAGTAACACTGGGCAGGCCCACTATGCACCTCACACGGGTCATTTCTCACTGGATCCCTACTATCTTATGGGGTAAGTGCTACCATTACTCTTATCCACAGGTAAGGAAACAGACTCAGAAAGGCTAAGTGATTTGCCCAAAGCTGGCTTGCTACCACCAGGCATCCAGAACAGTCGTACGAAATCAGCAAGGCAAGATCAGGATCACCATCTTCCAGAGTCACTGAGGCACAGAGAGGAAAAAGGACCTTTCCAAGGTCATGGAATAGGACCTATTCCTCTCTGGTCAGTCAGCATGCTCAGCATTCTGTTAATAGGGCTACCAAGCTCAGCCTCCCTCCTACAGGCCTCCCTCCTACAGGAAAGCCAGAGTACTCCAGCCCTTGCAAGGAGCTCCCAGTCAAACAACAAGAGAAAGTTGCTGCAGGGTACATATCAGAACCCAGACACTGGATTCCAGGACAGGCTTTTGGCCTGTCGGCCTGTCGGATAAAGGAGCCTTCAGCAGAGCTGGACTCCCAGGGCAGAGTTCTAGTTACTTAAAAGCACCTGACAATTTCAGCATATAATTATATTATATGGTGCATTGTTTCCGGTTGTGTTGTTAATTTTGTCTCCTCAGCCCAACTAGACAATTGAGGGTAGGAAGGGAGCCTGACTCTTCAGTGGGCCCCCAGGGTGTGGAGCGCTTAGAATAGCCTGGGAGCTTGATTGATTGATTGCCCTCAGCATCCCTGATGTTGCTCAAAGCAGGCCCCCTTCTGCCACCAATGGTGCCAACCACCTCTCACCCACACCATACACCTACACAATAAGGCAGGTGCCCACAACGAGCCAAGGGAACCCTCATGACCTCCTAATCAGTAACAAGCCTAAGATTATCAACTCAGGACCCCAAGCCACATGAAAGGGGAACCAGCCACTGGTAAAACATTGCACAGGTCCCTTTCCTCACAGCAACAACATTTAAGCAATTACCAAGGTCTGGGCTAAATCATAATCACCTTCTAAAAATCCATGCTGCAAATGAGTCCCTAGGCTGCCCCACTAGCACATCTTATGTGCAATGTGGAGCAACAGGGCTTTGGGTTAGTTCCTTAGCACTTTTCTTCTCTCTGGTTAAATGGATGACAGCATGGGGCTATGTGAATGAGACCCCATACTCTGAAACACTCTGCAAACACTAAACAAATGGCTTTTTCTTTCCTTCAGCTTCTAGGATTGCCACACAGCTGTAATCCTGGGGCAATTCAACAGCTTTGCTTTACTGTTAAGGAAGGCCACTATGGCCATTATTTGACAGAAGGGAGAACAGTCTCTAGAACCAGGGCCAAAGTCTGGGATTGGGATAAAAACGAAGGTCATATGGGGGGGGGGTTCATGAGGCAAAGGCACAAGGCCTGAGCTTATCAGGAAAAGCTCCTGAGGACAGCCCTTATGGAAAGGAAACTCATCACACTCCCATCTTTAACTGTCACCCCAATACATTCTCCTGGTCAAGCCCAAACTCAGAGGAAAACGAATGGTAAGAAACAAGTACCAGCCAGGGACACCACTTGGTTGAGGACTTGGGTTAAAATCTTGACTCTGCCATGATGTGACATTAAACAACCTCTCTGGGCCTCACTGTTCTCAACTGTAGAATGGGAAGACAGTAATAAAAGAGCTCCCGTAGGTTGTGTGGGTGTGAGTGCAGTATGAATGTATTCAAAAGTACTTCCTAGAGGATAGGTCACTTGACAATTGTATAGTATTTATACCAGCACAGCAAGAGGTAGAAAGGTAAATGCAGCTGGGGGAAAATATAACCAAGTACACATACACACGCAGTCTTTGCAAGGACAACCCCCTCCTCCAAATAGATGAGGTTTGAGAAGCAGCACCAGTGGCAGCTCCCACCTGTCATTCAAATACTAGAGAAACGGAGGCAGGAGAATGGCCTCAAGTTTGAGGTCAACCTGGGCTACAAGTGAGCTCCAGACCAGCCAGGGCTGCAGTCAGACTCTTCCTCAACCAAATAATAAATAAATAAATAAATAAATAAATAAATAAATAAGCCCACTCACTGTGGGAATCAACACCCTAGAGCAGGCTGAAAAGAGAATCATCAAGGAAGAGGTGGCTGCGAGGGCAAAGTGAACAGGGGAGATTAGAGGGGTGGAAACCCACCTGATTAGCCCAGGCACCCTATAGGGCGTGACCCTGGGCGACATTTGCCGGCCCCCAGCAGCCAGACACAATAAAGAGGAAGGGGAAGAAGGTGGCAACACAAGGCAAGGCTAGCTGGAGAATGCTCACCGACCCAGCTGGGCCTCCCTGTGCAGCCGAGAGGGCCTACCCAGGCCCAGGTGGCCACAGGGACCCACGCCGTGCACCCCGTGTCTCACCTGGTAGGGCTCACTATGGTGCCCCAGAGCCTCCGCTTCCGCCTGGGGTCCTCCAGCTGCTCTGCTAAGCAGGGAGAGGGGCAAGGAGACCTTTCCCCTTGCCACCTCTGCCTCCGCTTTCGCCCTTCCTGAGGGGCGGGCCCGGGAAGCCCCCCCTGGAGGGGAGGGGGTGACAACCTGATCTGACCTCCCGGTCCAGTCCTCCCCCAACTCGAGGGCGACAGTTGCTGAATCCGGGATTTCCGATAGTGGGGTCTGAGCCCCAAATATGTGCACGAGCTAAAAATGAATCCGGTATTTGAACGTCTGGGGAGTGAACCCCGAACACTGGTGCACGCAGGGTCCTGAGCCCCAGGTATTTGAAATCCTACAAAACAGAGACCCAGGTTTGTAAAGGCTGGGACCTGAGTCCCAGATAGCTGATGCCTGGGTATTTGAGAAGCGAGGGGCCAAGGCCCAAAATCTGGGACCCGGGGGCCTGAGCCCCGGGTCTGCCGCCACCGAGCAGGGGCCCACCCCGAGGACGTCCGGTCGCACGGCCCCTCTCGCGCTGGGGTCCGAGGGTGACAGCCCCCACTCGGCCCTGGCCTCCTCCCGTCCCCGTCCTATTCCCCGGAGCAGCTGAGGGGCTGTGGTCAGGGCGCTGCCGGCGGTCCCCGCGCCTTCGCTCCCTAGCCTCTCGGTCTCAGCTTCTCTGCACCGCAGCCCCGTCTCGTCCCGGCCTCCCTCTCCCTCTTCCTCCCAATTCCAAGATGGAGACCGGGCGGGAGCGCGCAGGCGCGGTAGGGACGCCGGTCCAAAGGGGGCGGGGCCCGGGACACAGCCCTGCCCCTCGCCTGTGACTGCCCGGCCAAGGCCGGCCGCCCGCCAGCCTGAGTGCGCGCGCGCCGGGCCACGCGGATCCTGGGTGGGAGGAGGCGGGAAGAAGGGCTGGGCTTGAAGGGGAGGAGCCCAAGCGGGCTGGCACAGGGCTGCGCGCATGCGCTCGTTTAGCTGACGCTGTGTGCCCGAGCCTGTTGCTAGGGCTCTGAGGGGGCGCGCGTGGAAGGAAAGCTGTGCTCTACGCCTGCGTGTAGGGTAGAGCCTGCGAGGAGTAAAGGGTGCTAGCAGCTGGGTGAGGAAAAGGCGGGAAAATGGTCCGTTCTGCTGCTTACTACCATCCAAGGTAGACATGCGTTCTCAAGTGTGAGGTTGACAGGCTGTAAATTGGGAAAACTAAAGCGTCCAAATCTCTACAGAAAACTCAGGCCCTGCAAGGTTACACGATTTGCCAAAGGTCACAGTGCGTTTATGTCAAAGTACTTAAATGATCTGAAACTCGCCAATAAGTGGTGGCTTTTGCTTGTAACTGCAACACTCAGCAGGTTGTGCAAGAGGCAACGGGTTAAGAGCACTGGTTGCTCTTGCAGAAAACTCAGGTTCGATTTCCAGCAACCACATGGCAGCTAACAATTGTAACTCCAGCCCCAGGGGATCCGACAGCCTCTTCTGACCTCCGCAGACATTGCACGACATGGGTGCACTTACCTACGTGCAGGCAATACATGCATACACGTAAAATAAAAATAATAAAAATTTTTTTTAAAAAGGGAAAAATAGGGCTAGAGAGACGGCTCAGTAGTTAAGAACACTCCTTGTGGGGCTAGAGAGATGGCTCAGCAGTTAAGAACACTGTTCTTGCAGAAGACCTGGGTTCAAATCCCAGCACCCACGTGGCAGCTAAAAACTGTCCTTAACTCCAGTTCCAGGGGATCTGACAGCATCTTCTGTCCTCTGCAGGCACTGCACAACATGGGCGCACTTACCTACATAAAGGCAATACACGCGTACACATAAAATAAAAATAATAAAATTTAGTAAAAAGGGGGGGGGATGGTTAGGGATACTGCTCAGCAGTCGAGTGTTTACCCAGCATGTATGAGGCCCTATGGCATCCACAATACTATACATAAAAAGGAGGAGCATCAAGATAGCTAAGCAGGTAAAGAAAGGTGCTTGCCACAAAAGCTTGGTGACCTGAGATCCCCTGAACCCACATAAAGGTTGAAGGGAGAACCAGCTCTACAAAGTTGTTCTTGGACCTCCACATGCATGTCATGGAATGCACGTACACACAATAAAAAAATATTTTTAGCCGGGCGTGGTGGTGCATGCCTTTAATCCCAGCACTTGGGAGGCAGAGGCAGAGTTCAAAGCTAGCCTGGTCTACATAGTGAGTTCCAGGACAGCTGGGGCTACAGGGAGACCCTGTCTCAAAAAGACCAAAAAAAAAAAAAGAAAAGAAAAGTTTTTAAGTTAAGAAGGAAAAGTATCCCCCAATTCCCACTTTAATCCAATCCTCAATAAATCATATAATAGTGGGCAAAAGCTTTTTATTTCCCCCATATTCCAGTTCTTCATTTTTTTGTAATGTCTTCCAACCTTGGGAGCAAGGTCCAAGAATTTGATTTACACCTGGAGAAAAAGAAGAAAAAAAGAAAACCAGAAGAGGTAAGCAAGTCCCTAGAGGAAGCTTTCAAATGAGCACAGAAATTGAGGAACAAAGAAAGTGACATCTAGAGATGAGTCAGGGACTTAATCCCATGGGGGTAGCCTCAGAATCCCAGGATCAGCCAGGGCCTGAAAAGCTAAAAGCCTTCCTTCCCCACCCTAAGCTTGAATGGGTTCCATTGTTTCCTATCCCAAGTAAGACAATGGGGCAGCAAGGCCTATCCTCAAGGACAATGAGCAAAGTTCCAATTCTCTGGGCTGAAGCAGTTCCGTGGGTCTGAGCTGTTTCTACTTCTCCCACAGGAATTTCCTAGCACACAAAGGCCAGCAGAACCTGGGAAAGGTTTAAGTGCTGGGTGCATACATAACATATGGCTTTCAAATGAGATAAAATCCACCTGACAAGGTGAAGATCTTTTGCAGAACTGTTCTCACTTAATGAGAGGATGTGAATTAGTCCTTCAGCTCTTGCTACCTTTGTCAAACTCATTCCCTCTGTAGTGGTTTGAATGAAAATGTCCCCCATAGGCTCCAAGTATCTGGACATTTTGTCCCCAGATGGTGGCGCTGTTTTGGGAGGTTTTAGAAGGTGTGGCTATCCTGGAGGAAGCACATCACTGGGGGTGGGCTTAGAGAGTTCCTAAGCCTTGCGGGATACCCAGTTGCTCTCTTGCTTCCTGTGTCTCCATGATGACGTGAGAACTTAACTTCTGCTGCTCCTGCTCCAGCCACCTCCAGCCACCACGCCTCCGTCATGACAGACTGTAATTCCCCTGGAACCATAAGCTCAAATAAACTCTTCCTTCTATAAATTGCTTTGGTCAGTGTTTCTATCACAGCAACAGAAAAGTGACTAGTACAGTAATTGGTACCAGAGAGTGGGCTGTTGACTCTAAAGAACGTGACCAATGTAGGGTTTTAGAAGAATGTGGAAGACTTTGGAAACTTGTGGAAGACTTTGGAAGCTTGTACTAGAAAAGCAGCTGATTACTGTAAGCAGAGCTTAACAGGCGATTCTAGTAGGGGCCTGGAACAATGCAGTTCCAGAGGGAAATAAGGACTTGAGGACTTAAGCAGCAATTGGGATATTTTGGCAGTCTAACTATAGTCTGCCCACAGCCAAAAAGCTTGCCTGAGGCTAAGTTGAAAAGCAGTGGACTAATTTCTCTGGCAGAAGATATTTCAAGACAGCATAATGTGGAAATGGTGGCATGGCTATTAATGGTGAATATTATACAGATTTACAGTGAAAAAACCAAATGGGGCAGAAAGAAATACAGAATGTACAGGATGAACTGAAAAAGAGCACTAGGAAGATAAATGTTGGAGCCTGGCCATGTGCTGGAGAGGATCCCTTTGATAAGGATATTAAACTGATTAAGGAGGGGCCTAGAGATTTGCACTTAAACAATGGAGAGAGTGCCTCCAGAGCAATACCACACCCAGTTAAGCCTCCAACTTGTGAAAGGAAAATGCTGCAGGGGCCACTAAGGAGAAAAGCTTCTAAAGTGGATAAAGCAGGCAGGAGTCCATCCTAAACTTGCAGTGAAATTTGGCAGTGTCATTCACCTGGTGCTGGCTTTAAAGGCATGAAAGATGCAAGAGTGAAGGGGTCATCAATTCCTCCTCTGGTTTCAGAGAACCTCGGAGGCCAGGCAGTGTGCAGCAGAGGTGCCCTGCGTAGAGAAGGCCCTGGTAGGCCACTGAGTGAAGCTGTGAAGGTGAAGCCTGGTTGGCAATGGAGACCCCCCCAAGAAGACATCTGTGATGCCAGAGCTGTGAGGCATCTGCCAAGAAGACCTGCACACAGGGAGTGGTACCAGCACAAGAGAGAGCTGTGTGTTGCATGCAGCAAAGCTAGAGAGGTTGAGCCATCTAAGCCCTTTGGAAGTCTGGTCCCAGAAGTTGGATGTGGAGCTACTGGATTTGGTGTTTGCCCTGCTGGTTTTCAGTCTTGTTTTGGTCCGGTATTTCCTTACTATGCCTCCAATCCTCCCTTTTGGAATGGTAATGTGTATTCGATTCCACTCTATGTTGGGAGTATGTAATCTGTCTTTTGATTTTATAGAGGCTTACAATTAAGATATTTACCTGTGTCTCAGAAGAGACTTTGGACTGTGGACTTTTGAATAGTATTGAGACTGATACTGACTATGGGGATTTTTAAAGTTGAACTAAATGCATTTTGCATTTTATATGGTCATGAGCCTATAGGGGCCAGGGGGTGGAATGTGGTGGTTTAAATGAAAATGTCTCCCATACGCTCCAAGTATTTGGACATTGTGTCCCCAGATGATGCTGCTGTTTTGGGAGGTTTTAGAAGGTGTGGCTATCCTGGAGGAAGCACGTCACTGGAGGTGGGCTTAGAGAGTTCTTAAGCCTTGCTGAATATCCAGTTGCTCTCTTGCTTCCTATGCCTGCGTGATGATGTGAGAACTTAACTTCTGCTCCTGCTCCAGCCACCTTGCTTCCCTGTCATGATGGACTGCAATTCCCCTGGAATCATAAGCTCAAATAAACTCTTCCTTCTATAAATTGCTTTGGTCAGTGTTTTCTGTCACAGCAACAGAAAAGTGACTAATACACCCTCCAAAGACCCCATCAGCAGAGCACACTGTTTTCTAAACGCAATGATGACTTACTGAAGAAACGCATGCAAAGTGCCTGGGCAGAACATGTACCCAGTAATAGACATCATTAATTAGATTCTTTTGAGCTGCTAGTGCTGGGTTTTACAAAATGTGCACCAAAAACTGAGTATCAGAATTTCAGGAGAGCTGCCATGATATCTCAGTGGGCAGAGCACGGCAAGATGGCTCAGTGGGTAAAGGTGCCTGTGCCAAGTCAGGCAATCTGAGTTCAATTCCAAGAACATACATGATGGAGAGAACTGACTCCTGGAAATTGTCCTCTGATCTCCACATGTGCCCTGTCGCATGTACATGCACAAATGCCTGCAAACATATGCACAAATAAATAAATAAATGTAATAAAAAATTTTAAAAAGAATTTCAGAAAAAAAATCATCAAATTTAAACCCTGTTAAGCCATCATTACTGCCACAGAGGGTGGTGTGAATTACAGCTCTGGGCGAATCTTGAAATCACATGACTACTTGAAAGAAATTAGTCAAAAGAATATGTATGATTCTACATCAAGTTAAAAATGTCAGATGTAGTAGCACATGCCTTTAGTCCCAGAAGTCAGGAGGCAAAGGAAGGTAGATCTTTCTGAGTTCAAGGCCAGACTGGTCTACATACTGAGTTCCAGGCCAGCTGGGGCTACAGGGAGATCCTGTCTCAAAAAGACCAAAAATAAAAGGCTGAAAAATATATAAACAGTAAAGTTACAGCTAGAGTGATGGCTCAGTGGTTAAGAGTGCTTGTGCTTTTGCAGACAACCTGGATTTGGTTCCCAGCACCTACATGATGACTCAAAATCATGTGTAACTCCACTTCCAGGGGATCTAACACCCTCTTCTGAACTCCTTGGGCACCAGGCACACACAGTATTCCTACTTACACATAGGCAAAATGCTCACATACATAAAGTATTTTTAAAAAGTAAAATCAAAGCACATGCATACAGTTAGTAAAATCACACCTCCAATCAACTTCACTGGCTGTGATACTGTCACAAGCCAAAGCCACATACTTGGAGTGCATACTTGCATAAAAGCATAAAGCAAGGAACTGGAGAGGTGGCTCAGCAGTTAAGAGCACTGGCTGTTTTTGCAGAGGACTTGGGTTCAGGTCCCAGCACCCACATGGCAGCTAACAATCACCCTTAATTCTAGTTCCAGGGTATCCAAAGCCCTCTTCTGGCCTCTGCAGGCATTGAATGCCTGTGAAGCACTTAATATACATGCAGGCAAAATACTCATACACATAAAATAAAAACAAAATAATTTCCAAAAACCTACAAAGCAGGACAGCAGTTAACTTCTAGGGAGAGGGAGAACACTGTCAGCATGAAAGGGATCATGGGGGGAGGGCATACGGACTGCTGGGGTAATGGTCTTTTTACCCTCCTGGGTGATATTTACAAGTGTCTATTTTATAATATGTTGCCAAAAATGTACTTTTATAATTTTTCTTTTTTACTGAATGTTAACTAGTTTATAATAAAAAAGTAAAAAAAAAATCTTAAAAAAATTTGGGGCTAGAGAGGTAGCTCAGCAGTTAAAAAAAAGCTTGCTCCTCTTCCAGGATCTACGTTTGATTCTCAGCAGTCACACTGGGCAGCTCAAACCAGCTGTAACTCCAGCGCCAATGGATCTGACCCCCTCTTCTGGACTCTGAGGGCACCCACACACATGTGGCATACCCAGATACATACACATACACAGAAATTTAAAAAAGAAAAGTAGCCAGGTGTGGTGGCCCACAGCTTTAATCCCAGCACTCAGGAAGCAGAAGCGGGTGGATCTCTGTAAGATCAAGGCTAGCCTGATCTACATAGTGAATTCTAGGCTATCCCCTAAAGGGAAACTGTCTCAAAACAAAACAAAATAATAAAGCTATAAAAACAAAAAACAAAACAAAAAAAGACCAAAAAAGTAAAAATAGCTGGGCGTGGTGACATACACCTGTAGTCCCAGCACTCAGGAAGCAGAGGCAGGCGGATCTCTGTGAGTTCAAGGCCAGCCTGGTCTACACAGTGAGTTCCAGGACAGCTCAGACTACAGGGAGACCTTGTCTCAAAAAGACCAAAAAAAAAGAAAAAAAAGGAAAAATAGGGCCAGCAAGATGACTTGACTCAGCAGGTAAAAGTACTTGCAAGTCTGGTGACCTTAGTTTGGTCCCAGGGACCCACATAATGGTAGGGAAGAACAGACTCCACAGAGTTATCTTGTGACCTCCACATGCATACAACATGCCTGCACACACATCACATCACATACACACACACACACACACACACACACACACACACACAAAAAGAAAAAGTAAAAATAATAAATGGTGTATATTTATAGTGAGAATTGTTCCCAGTTCCCAAGGGGATAGATACAGACCAATAGGGTTCTCAGGGACTCATGAGAAGCAATACAGGATGGATTCCAAGATCAGCTTTGCCATCTCCTCCCCATCCCCTATTCCTACAGAACCTCACCTGAGAAAGGGTGGGCAGTAGGCCAGTGCCTTCAGAGCCAGGGTCTAGACCAGTGGAAGTCCCGACGCGGGTGGAAACACACAGCAGTGACACAGCAAAGAAGACCACAGAAGAGAAGCAAGAAAGTGCCCAAGACCAGCAGTCTGGAGCCACACAAGGCCAGCTCCTCCTAGGGGTGAGTACAGGGAGGGAAAGGAGATGATGAAGACAGAGAGTAGATCATCTTCCCTTGGGAAGATACCTTGTCCCAGCCCAAGAACAATGGAGACAAACCTCCGTGAGGCACAGTCCTGGCACCTAGGGAGCGGCTGAAAGAAGACGTTTTTATTTTTTTATTTTTTGATGTTTTTGAGACAGGTGGCACACGCCTTTAATCCCAGCACTTGGGAGGCAGAGGCAGGTGGAGCTCTGTGAGTTCAAGGCCAGCCTGGTCTACATAGTGAGTTCCAGGCCAGCTGGGGCTACAGGGAGACCCTGTCTCAAATACACCAAAAAAAGTTAGCATTTGTCCTGCTGGTTTCCAAACTGCCCAGCCATTGACTTGAACACCCAGAATGACTCTTGAGGTAGGAATGTTCATTATTCTCCACATCCCCATCCTTGCCTTTTTTTTTCTTTTTCCCATTATTACTTTGAAACAAAGTCTCGCTATGTAGCCCTGGCTAATGTCAAACTCTCAGGAAATTACCTCTTGAGTGCTAGGCTCAGATGTACACCATCACACCCAGAGATATTTTCCAATTTTATTTTATTTTTCTAAGACAGTGTCTCACTATGTAGCCCCCTGGTTGGCCTGGAAGTCATTATACAAATCTGGCTAGCCTCGGATTCACAGAGATCCGCCTGCCTCTATCTCCCAGTGCTTGGATTAAAGGCCTGGGCTACCATACCCAGCTTCTCTATGGTTGTTTTTTTTAAAAATTATTATTATTATTATTATTATTATTATTATTATTATTAGTGTGTGTGCATGATGCATATGTGGGTGCATGTGCCATCCCATGTTACCAGTGTGGAGGTCAAAGGACAACTTTGTGGCATAGGTTCTCCCCTTCCACCTGTATGTGGGTTTTGGGGATATAACTCAGGTCACCAGGCTTGGGCAGCAAGTGCTTAAGCCATCTTCTTGACCCTCCATATTTAAAGATTGTGCAAGTACAGCCAGGTTCTACTTCCCCAAATGATTTTTTTCAAAGACAGGGTCTCCCCAGCTGGCCTGGAACTCACTATGTAGACCAGGCTGGCCTCAATCTCACAGAGCGCCACCTGCCTCTGCCTCTCCAGTGCTGGGATTAAAGGCGTGCGCCACCACACCTGGCTTCCAAATGAAGTTTTTAAATGTGAGGGTTGAGTGTGCAGCAGCCTCCCAGCCAGACTTCCTCCTCTACTCAGTCCAGCTCCTCTGCCCTGCACCACTGAGGGCTTTTCTCTTCCCTAAAAGCCCTCAGTGGACCCTACTTCAGCATCATAAAATTTAGCTTGGCATTAAGAGTAACTGAAAACGAGTTCTGAGACTGCCTCTGCATTTTCCATGCTATCCCTTGGTCCCTCGTACTGTTGTATCCCAAGAGGCTGAACTGCACTCACAGGCTGGCCTTCAATGTACAATCCTCCTGCCTCAGCCTCTGGAGAGTACCAATATTATAAGTGCATACCGCCAAAACCAATCGAGCCCATGCATTTTCTCCTAGGTGAAGTTGCCTCCTGGAACCTTTCAGACACAGCATTCAAGAAGACCCTGAGGCTGACCTGAGGCTCTTACCGAGGTGAGAAGCTTGGTGAGCACAAGGCCTTCGTTGCTCCAGAACCTGACACACTCCTCGTCTATCTTGGGGCTCAGGGTGGCATTTCCAGCTCCCTCCTCTGAACAAGATATAGGTGGCTGACTGGAGGGGAGGATTTCTGGACCAGCACTAAAATACAGACAGATTCCTGGAGTCCTTTCTGCGGTCACTCTAGCTGTTATAAGGATCGGCTCTCCCGAAAAAGACCCTGCATGAGGTACAGGAAAGAGGAGAGAGAAAACTAAGTGGTGGGGCAGAAGCCAGTTATACGCAGGTTTCTACTTTCATTTATATCACAGATAAATGGAAGTAGCTGTGTATCAATACAAACACAAATTAATTGAAATGAGCTTACAATCATTGTACCAATTATACAAGATGTGTAGGTTTCAAGATGGCTCAGCAGGTAAAGGCATTTGCCACCAAGCCTGACAACCTGAATTCGATTACTTGGACCCACACAGTGAAAGGAGAGAACTAACTCACACAAGTTGTCCTCCCACCTCCACACATGAGCTGTGACATAAGTGTGCCCCCTTCCTATAAATAAATGAATGCAATATAAGACCCATAAGGTTGTAGTGAATAGGCAAATATACACTGCCCATTTCAACTTGTATGAATTAATTTGTGAGGCCAGCAAGATGGCTCAGTGGGTAAAGGCACTTGCTAAGCCTAACAACCTGAGTTTGATCCCTGGCACCTAAATAATAGAAAGAGAGAACTGACCCTCACAAATTGTTCTCTGACTTATACACACACACACACACACACACACACACATAAAAATAAATCTTTAAAATAAATCTAAAAAATTGTCTTTTTTTTTTTTTTTGAGACAGGGTCTCCCTGTAGTCCTAGCTGGCCTAGAACTTGCTATGGAGAACAAGCTGGTCTCAATCTCACAGAGATCCACCTGCCTCTGCGTCTGCCTCCCAAGTGCTGAGACTAAAGATATGTGCCACCACAGTCAGCTACAAAAACTGTCTTTTTTTTTTTTAAAAAAAAAGGTATTATTTAAAACTTTACATTTTGATTGTTTTGCCTGCATGTATGTATATGCAGTGCCCATGGAGGCCAAAGAGGGTATTGAATCCCCTAGAACTGGAATTATGGACTGATATTAGCTACCATATGGGTGCTGGGCACCAAACCCAGATCCTCTCCAAGCACAGCAAGCATTCTTAATCACTGAGCTATCTCTCCAGTCCCCTAAAAGATTTTCTTTTCTTTTTAATTACATGTATGTGTGTGGGTATGTACATGTGAGTACAGGTAGTCAAGGAGGCCAAAGGTGTTGGATCCCTCTAGAGCTAGAGTTATAAAAGGTTGTAAGCCATACAACGTGGGTGCTGGGAACTGAACTTGGGTCCTCTGCAAGAGCAGTAGAGGCTCTTCACCAGGCCCCAATTTGTCCTTTTAAAGAAAGCAGTTACCTGGGTGTGGTGATGCACACCTTTAGGACTAGCACTTGGGAGGCAGAGGCAGGCGGATCTCTGTAAGTTCAAGGCCAGTCTGGTCTACATAGTTCCTTGTAGCTGGAGCTACAAGGTGACCTTGTCTCAAAACAAGACAAAAAAAAAAAGCATTTATCCACTGAGTACCAAAATCCATTAAAGGTTCACACCCTGTTTTAAATTAGTGGGCAAAGGATCACTTGTCTAGTAAGCAGCTTTGGGACAATTTTCATGTGGACAAAAATACAAAGTTAGGCTGTACTTTATATTATAAATAAAACCCAAATATATTAAAGAATTATATAATTTAAAGAACGTTTTAAGCAAGTATTAAAGGAAAATACAGAGCTGAGCATGGTGGCGCATGCCTTTGATTCCAGCACTCAGGAGGCAGAGGCAGGCGGATCTCTGTGAGGTTGAGGGCCGCCTGATCTACCTAGTGAGTTTCAGGCCAGCTGGGGCTACTGGGAGACCCTGTCTCAATAAAAGACCAAAAAAAAAAAAAAAAAAAAAAAAAAAAAAAAAAAGGAAAATTCAGAAGACTATATTCTAATTTTAAAGTGCTGAAGGCATTTTTACGAAGGACACAAAATATGAAAGTTTTTGTTGGTTGGTTGTTTATAGCCCAGGCTAGCCTCAAACTCATTATCTAGCCAAGGCTGGTACAAGGCTAACCTTGTACTCATAGCAACCTTCCTGCCACAGCCTCCCAAGTACTGGGATTATAGGCATGAGACTACATGCCCAACTTTTATCGTAATTTTAAATGAGCAGAGAGAATGCTTACCAAACTGTCAGTGCCCTTATATTTGCTTCTGTATGGTCTGAATCCTCAGCAAAATGAATTTGGTACGTGGCCAGGGATGTAGCTCGCTTGATGCAGTGCCTGTTTAGCATGCATAAAGCCCTGGGCTCATCTTGAACACCAGCCTAAACTGAGTGTGGCACTACAGGCCTGTAACCTTAGCATAGAGAATGTGGAGGCAGGCAGGCAGGCAGGCAGGCAGGCAAGCAGAACCAAGAGTTCAAAGTCACCCTTAGCAACATAGTGAGTTTAAGGCCAACCTGGGCTAAATGAGACCTTGTCTAAAAACAAAACAAAACAAAGAACAAACACAATATATATATTATATATAATATACAAGAAAGAAAGAAAAAAAGAAAGAAAGAAAGAAAGAAAGAAAGAAACAAACAAACAAACAAACAAACCAACCAACCAACCAACCAACCAACCAGAGGGGCAGCAAGATGACTCTGCAAGTAAAAGTACTTGCCCAACAAGCCTGAAGACTAGAGTTCATACCCAGAAGGCATGTGGAACTGACAGAACACCACAAAGTAGTTTTCTGACCTCCACACATGCATTGTAACACACATACACCTTTACACACATCATATGCACACACAACAATAAACTAGAAAAGAGGCCCATCCTTTAACTCAGTAATATCATTTTTAGGAATTAATCCTAAAGAAGGGACTAAAAAGAAAAATGCAAATGTGCTAAGGGCTAGGGGTGCAGCTCAGTGGAGAGCACTTGCCTAACATATATCAAGCCCCTGGGCTCACTCCTGAGCACCAGCCAAAGGGCCAAAACAACATAGATTAAGATGCTGACTTTGATTTTATCAAATCCAAAAAAATTAGGAAACAATATTTACTAGAGAAAGCATTTAAAAACGATGGCCTGGGGCAAGAGAGATGACTCAGCAGTTAAGAGCAATGGCTGCTCTTCCAGAGGACGAGCACCCACATGATGGCTAACAGTCATAACTGCAGTTCCAGGGGATCCAATACCCTCTTCTGGCTTCCGTGGGCATTGCACAACATGGGTGTACTTACACAGGTGCAGGTACAACACTCATATCCATAAAAATAAATTTAAAAAATTATTTTAAATGATGGCCTAACCATGTATTGGATCAATTTACAGTCATTAAAATAACAACATTGAAGACCATGTAATAATGTGGAAAATCATTTATGTATATGTATAAAAAGGAGAAATACAGCCAGGCGTGGTGGCGCACGCCTTTAATCCCAGCACTCAGGAGGCAGAGGCAGGCAGATCTCTGTGAGTTCAAGGCCAGCTGGTCTACACAGTGTGTTCCTGGACAGCCAGGACTACATAGTGAGTTCCAGGACAGCTGGGGCTACAGGGAGACCCTGTCTCAAAAAGACCAAAAAAAAAGAGAAATACAAATCAGTGTGTGTGCCATAATTACAACTGAGACTGTGTATGCAGAATCTAGTAACATGTCTTCTCCCTTTTTGACTCCACCGCCTAGATGGACTCAGTGCTGGGTAATGTCAGTCCCAGATTCCTAATGCCCCTCTCAATTCACACCAGTTTTAATTTTCCATCGTGTCTTTTTGTTTTCCCTTTCCTTTTTTTGACAGGGTTTTGCTACATAGCCTAGATTGACCTCAAACTTGTGATTCTTCTGCCTCAACTTCCTTAGGGGTGAGATTACAGGCAGGCACTACCATGCCTAGCTCTCATCAACTTTTTAATTTTAATTTTTATTTTATGTTTTAATTTTTATTTTATGTGTACAAGTGTATTGCCTGCATGTATATGAGTACACTGTGTTGTGTAATGCCAAGGAGGTCAGAAGAGGGTGTCAGATTTCCCTGGAACTGGAGTTAAGGATAGTTCTTAACCATGGTGGATGCTGGGAATCGAACCCGGGTCCTCTGCAAGAGCAGTCAGTGCTCTTAACCATTGAGCCATCTCTCCAGCCCCATCATCATCAACTTTCTACAGTCACCACATAGTAGTAGTAGGTCTGGATACAATCATACTACTTTCTTGATTAAATTGAATTTGTTCAACATTCTGTGTCTAACCACTTTGGGATGCACACAAGATCTTTCATTGGAAGTCAGGCATAGCAGCTTACACTTAGGAGAGAACCAACACCTACAAGTTGACCTCTGACCTGCACAAGCATGCTGTGGCATGAGTTCCCCCCGCCACGTATAAATATAATCAAAAAAATTAAAAATGTTGTCCATGAGTTTCTACCTCCTTCTTTGGACCAATTTCCCACTCAACATTCCTTCCCCTGTGTGCACTGAACTCTGGGAAGTCCCTAAACATGCCATCATGGTTCCCATCCACATGCCTTTGTGTCTGCTGCTCCCCTTAGCTGGAATTTTGCACAGCTAAGCATTCTATAAGCCTAAGCATAGGTACCGTAACCACGGAGAAGTCTTTCTGCAGCATCCTGCTGCACCTCATGCTCTACTCCACACACTGACAGCTACAAACTTCTTTCGTATCTGTATCCTTGCTAGACTCTGAGCAACTAGAGGGGAAGGCTGATAAACATGAAAAATCATTACCAGAGCCAGGGAGGTAGCTGTTCTCAATGATTAGGATGGGTACAGTGAAAATGACAGATGAAAGTGCTGGTGAGGATGGGAAACAGTGCAGAGCTCCCGTTGTGAATTGTCTATCAGCTTGGCAGTTCCTGAGACTAACTGTAGAGCTGTCACACACTTCACTCATGAATATATTCTCAAGCGTACTAAACATGCATGTCCACACAAAAACATACCAGCATAATTTCTTCTTCTTCTTCTTCTTCTTTTTTTTTTTTTTTCTTTTGAGACAGGGTCTTCCTGTAGCCCCAGCTGGCCTGGAACTTATTATGTAGACTAGCCTTGATCTTACAGAGATCCCTCTGCCTCCCAAGTGCTGGGATTAAAGGCATGTGCCACCATGCCCAGCCAGCAGCATAATTTCTAATAGCCCAAAGTAGAAACAACTCAACTGTTAATCAAATGATGAGCAGATACATGGAAATGTAGATGATTCATACAATGAATGTTATTCAGTAATAAAAAAATGAAAAATACTGACAAATGCTACATCGATGAACCTTAAAAATCTTATTCTAATGCTGGACCTGGTGGTCCACACCTGTAATTGGACCACTCTGGGGGTGCAGGTGGGTTTCTGTGAGTTCCAGGCCAGCCTAGTCTACAAAGTTACAAAGTGAGTTCCAGGTCAGTCAAGACTACATAGTGAGACCTTGTCTCAAACTTTTTTTTTGGTCTTTTTGAGACAGGGTCTCTCTGTAGCCTCCCAGCACTTGGGTGGCAGAGGCAGGAGGATCTCTGTGAGTTCAAGGCCAGCCTGGTCTATATTGTGAGTTCCAATAAATCTTATCCCAGGTCAAAGATGCAGTCATAAAAGACTGCATATGTAGACAAACCTACAGAGACAGAAAGGAGTTTTGTGCTCACAGAGGATGGGAGCCTGGGGAGAATAGGGAAAGGGACTGCTAAAAGTTTGAAGTTGGTTTCGATGGTAAAAATGTTCTAAAAATGGATTGTGGGAATGATTCCACACTTGTGGGAACTGAATAAAAGTAATTTAATTGTATATTATATATATTTATTTTTGTCTTTTTGAGACAGGGTCTTCCTGTTGCCCTAGATGGCTTGGAGCTCACTATGTAGACTACGCTGGCCTCTATCTCACAGAGATCCACCTGTCTCTGTCTCCCAAGTAATAGGATTAAAGGCACGTACCACCATGGTTTTTTTTTCAAATGTTATTTTTATTTTATTTTATGTGTATGAGTGTATTGCTTGCATGTATGTAAGTGCACCCATGTTGTGCAATGCCCATGGAGGTCAGAAGGTGTAGGATCCCCTGGAACTAGAGTTATAGACAGTTGTTAGCTGCTGTGTGGGTACTGGGAACTGAATGGGATCCTCTGTGAAAGCAGCCAGTACTCTTGGCTGCTGAGCTGTCTCTCCAGCCCCTTACCTGGCTTAATTGTATATTTTAAATTCGTGAATTCTATGGTATGTGAACCATACCTCAGTAACTTTGTCATGTATATGTTTGGGGTAGATTCAGAATCTTGCCCTAGATGACCTGGAACTCACTCTCTCACTCTGTAATCCAGCAGTATGTGATGTGCCCCCTTTCCATATATATACATATGTACATACATATATACACATATATATACATACATGTGTATATATACATATATACACACATATATAGATATATACATATATATACATATATACACACATAGATATATATATATCAAGGAATGTTGAAGTTTTGAACCTAGGGCTTCCTCATGCATGCTAGGAGATAATAAAAAAAACTTGGAACTGGAAAGGCAAAGCTAAAATACAAATACAAAACTTATGTTGTGGCAGCATTCACCAAAAGTATCCTATTTAACCCTTATTACAGAAGTGACTAGGGTGCAGGGATGTGCCCAAGGTCACCAGCTTGGTGAAGTCAGAGGCAGGGCAACCCTAAGTATTCTGATGCTGGATACCCGTATCCCCTGATCTCACCTTTTAATCCCATCTGATTACCAGGGATCCTGGCTTGGAATGTTTGGGATTTGTTCCTGTCAGGACCATCTCCGAAGTTTAAGGTAGTCAGTAAGCCCACGACGTGAGACCCTGGCCGCTTCCCTGTGACTGTCCCATTCATGGGGCACAGGGTCAGCTGGCCAAAAGACCGCAAAAAGGAAACCCAGTCCTATGTGCAAAGGGAAGGCAAGAGAGAACTGAGATGAGATTAGCAAGCAGGGCAGGCTACACACAGGAAGGGTGAGCAGCACCATACTTACCTGGGGGATGTCAGGGCTGCGAAGGCCAGTCCTGTGGGTGAGGAGGAAGCCACCAAGGCCTAGGCCCGAGAGGCCAAGGAGCAGCAGGATCAAAGTGGCACAGACCAAAGGTGGGTGGTGAGCCAGGCAGAGATGCAGGTTGTGACCTGCCTGGCAGCTGCCCATGGAGAGCAGCGGGGTCCGGGCCTCAGCGGAGAGCCTGCTGGGGGACAGTGAGGAAAAACTGGACAAGAGCCTGCTGGTCAGAAGGCACTCACCCATCTTATGCAAAGGGAAGCTAAAACTCGAGAAGGCAAGGGACTTGTTCAGGGCCGCACAGTCAGCAGCAGAGTCAGGATGGACATGCAAAACTCTGTTCTCCAGAAGTTCATCTTCCTCCATCACTTAATAAATGCTTGCTGCATTTCGTTTCTGATATAACCAAAGCAGAAACAGAGCACTGCATTCTGTGCTGGCAAAAGGAATGCGAAAAGAATTCTCAGCTGGAGAAAAGAGGAAGCAGCCAATCTGGGGCTAGGGTTAGGCGGAAGAACAGCTCAAGCCGGAGGCCAGATGGGAAGCGTCCCACTACCCAGCCCCTGCCTTGGAGCTAAGCTAAGCAGCTGGGTGTAACTAAATCCTTCTTGCTGCTCATTAGCTATGTGCGCCTAGGCTAGTTGTCTGTGAAGTTAAGGTGGTGTGAACTGGGAGTTCTTGAACACCGAGTCCTGAGGTTTCAATGGGGCAGCGCCGTCTGCGTGGTACTTAGCCATGCAGTTTAACAGATGTCCACCTGTCTTTCTGTCACACTGATTCTTAAACCCAGGGGAGCCTAAGAAACACTGGCTCCGGGACTTCAACTCTAGAGGTCTGAAATCGTCTCCTACTTCCGAGGGGCCAGAAGCGATCGCTTGATGAACAGAAACAGCTGGAAAGCAGACGAGCAACACGTGGGGCTAGGGGAGCGCGTGGGAAAAGCGGGTGTCACCGACGCCAGCCCCTGCCCCGCCCCGCGCCCTGGCTTTCCTGCGTGGGGGCGAGCAGGGGAGGAAGGAGCCCGAGGGTCGGCGGCCGGCGGAGCAGCTGGGCGCCAGGTCCTCCCCGAAGGCCCCTCGGTAAGGATCTAGACACCCGCATCCCTTCCCGCTCTTGCCGCTCCGGGTCCGCCCGCTAGCCCTCACCGGTGGCAGCCGGGTGGAGACCGGCGCCCCCCGCGACGTCACGCGTGGCTTGGCCGAGGGGCGGGGTCCTTGCTCTGAGCTTTCAGCTCCCGCCCACTGCATGCCGCGCATGCGCAGTGGCCACGCGGCCGCCACCCGGCCTTGGCGGGCGCGTACCAACAGGAAATCCAGCGGAGGGGCCCAGGGGGCAACAACTCCGCCGGAGCCGAGGAAACCTGAGGCAGGCTGGGAGTCCGAGTCTGCAGCATCCGACGACCTCGGGTCGGAGAGGCCGAGGGAGGTTTCCATCGATCACCCAAGCCACTCCTCCGGAGATCGTCCCCCACTCGCACCGTTAGCACAGTCCGGCTGCGCCCAGGGAAGGAGTTGGGATGTGTTGGGTCGGGTGGGGCTCTCACTTTTCCAGGCTGCGAGTGGCATTTGGTACTGCTCTTCTCTGAGCGCCCCAAATGCTTAAGGTCGACGCCTTGCTCGTGGTCCCCGGCTCCTAGCGGCCCCTTAATGCACAGGGTTCCAGAGTTGCAAGGCTGCTCCACAAAGAGCATCTCATTTGACTTTTTTGGAGAGGAAAACATTTTACTTGAAATAGCATAACACACAGAGCCAGGAGCTCTAGGTTCATATCCTGACTCTGGCCCGGTGTGGTGGTACGCTTCTGTAACCGCAGCACTCGGGAGGTGGAAGCAGTAGGGTCAGGAGTTCAAGGCCAGTAGAGTACGAGGCCAGCCTGGGATCCTTGAGATCCAGTCTCAAGAACAAAACAACAAAATGAATAACCTGACTCAGTCAGTGCCCCTGTGTAAGCCATAACCACGCAGTCTTGGGGATAGGATTGTTCTACTCTTTTTTTTTTTTTTTTTTTTTTTTTGAGACAGGGTCTCCCTGTAGCCCCAGCTGTCCTGGAACTCACTATGTAGACCAGGCTGGCCTCAAACTCAAAAAGATCAGCCTGCCTCTGCCTCCCAAGTGCTGGGATTAAAGGCTTGCGCCACCACGCTGGGCTTGTTCTACTCTTAAAGGAGAATATTTGTACAACTGGTTCACAGAGGACCTGGGTTCTATTCCCAGCACCCACATGGTGACTAACTGTCTATAACTCCAGTACCAGGATATCTGACACCCTCTTCTGACCTTGGGCATTGCATGACACGGGTGCACTTACCATACATGCAGGCAATACCCCCCCCCCACACACACAGACACACACACACACTAATAATAATAAATATAAATTTTATTTTATGTGTATGAGTGTTACACCTGCATGTATATAAGTGCACCTGTGTCATGCAATGCCTACGGAGGACAGAAGAGGGTATCAGATACCCTGGAATTGGAGTTATGGATGGTTAGCCACCATGTAGGTGCTGGGATTTGAACCTGGTCTTCTGCAAGAGCAACTAGTGCTCTTAACCGCTGAGCTATCTCTCCAGCCAATAAATAGAATTTTTTTTATGTCTTTTTTGAGACAGGGTCTCCTTGTAGCCCCAGCTGCCCTGGAACTCACTATGTAGACCAGGCTGGCCTCGAACTCACAGAGATCCACCTGCCTCTGCCTCCCAAGTGCTGGGATTAAAGGCGTGTGCCACCACGCCTGGCGATAAATAGAAATTTTTAAAAGAACAAAGTTACAACATTTGCAGGAAATTAACACAACTGATGATAATCACATTGAGCAAATTAAGTCAGTATTAGACAAATATGTTTTCTCTAGCTGGGTGTGGTAGCATACACCATTAATCCCAGCACTCCCAAGGCAGAGGCAGGTGGATCTCTATGAGTTCAAGGCCAGCCTGATCTACATAGTTCTGGGCCAGATCCTGTCTCAAAAAGACAAAAAATAAAATAGAAAGACAAATGTGTTTTCTCTCATTCATTTGTGGTTCCAGGATTCTATATAGATACAGAACAGTGTGTGTGTGTGTGTGTGTGTGTGTGTGTGTGTGTGTATGAAAGTGGAACCAAAACTGTCCAGAGGAAGGAACAAAAAGGACAAATGGGAGGGATGAGAAGTGACAAAAGGGAGGAGAGGGACCTGTGGGAGGAATATGATCAACACACATCGTATATTTGTATGAAAATGTCCTTATGTAACACAACACCACGTATAATGAATACAACGAAACATATTTAAAAGGTGGCTAAAGTGAGAAAGACATTTTCCCAGAGAAGATATACCCATGGCCATCAAGCATATGAAAAAGATGCTCAGTATCACTAATCACAGCATAAATGCAAATCAAAAAATGAGGGGCCAGCAAGATGGCTCAGTAAATAAAGGCCCTTGCTGCCATGCCTGATGATCTGAGTTCCCCAATTTGTGTGTGTGCGTGTGATAAAAGTGGAAGCAAACACCCACACGGTGGATGGATAGAACAGACTCAAGAATGTTATCCTCTGATTCTCTCTCTCTCTCTTGTACACACACACACACAAATAAATGTAAAAAAAGAAAGTGAGGTACCATTTCATACCCATTAGGATGGCTACCAACAAGAAATCAGAAAATAGCAAGTAATGATACTGTGGGTAGATTGGAACACTTGAACATTGTTAGACTGAAATGATGCAACTGCTATGGGAAGAACTGGTTATTCCTAAAAACACTAAAACTATCCTGACTATATGGTATTAATACTAGTTCTGGAGATATACCACCCCCAAATCTGAAAGCAAATCTCAAGAGAGATTTGTATACCTATATTCATAGCAATATTATTCACAAGAGCTAAAAATGAAAGCAATCCAAGGGTTCATCAGTGGACGCATAATCAAAATGTAGTGTACACACCACATGAGGGAATGATATTCCACTTAAAAGAGAAAGGGAAGCCAGGCATGGATGTGCGTACCTGTAGGCCCCGCACTTGGGAGGCAGAGGCAGGAGGATCAGGAGTTATCTACACAATGAATTGGTGGCCAGCTTATACAGAAGACCCAGTTTCAAAAACTAGACCCCCTCAAAAAAAGGAAATTCTGAGTAATGCTGCAATATCGTAAAAAGGTGATTTCCACTGCAATGTGATTCCACTTATATGATGTGCCTAGAGCAGTCAGTTTCTGGAGACAGAAAGTAGAATCACAGTTGCTAGAAGCTTGAGAGAGGGGAGGATAAGGAATTATTGTTTAATGGGTGAAAAGTTTTAGTTTTGCACAATGAAAAAGTCCTGAGTATAGTGATGATAATTGACAATAATCACCAACAAGGTGAATATACTTAATAGGACTGAACTGAACACTTAAAACAGTAAAAATAAAACTGGGTGTGGTGGTAAGTATCTGTTATCCCAGCACTCAGGAGGCTGAAGTAGGAGACTTGGCACAAGTTCAAGGTCAAACTTAGGCTACATAGCAAGATCCTATCTCAAACAACCAGTAACAACATGTGAAAGTAATAAATTTTATGAACATTTTATTACAATTGGAAATAATAATTAGCTATGTGTGGTAACACACACCTATAACACCAGTGCTTAGGAGGCAGAGGCAGGACAAAAAAATAAAGCTGGGCATGGTGGTATACACCTTTAAATTCAGAACTCTGGAGGCAGAGACAGGAAGATCAGTGCAAATTGGAGGCCAGCGTGAGCTACCCAGCTAGCAAGTTCTAAGCCAGCCAAGACTATATAGCAAGACCCTGTCTTGAAAAACCAATAACAATAACTGCTGAGCCATTTTCTCTAGCCCTCTTTGAGATGGCTCAATGGGTAAAGCGCATACCACCAAGCCTAATGACTTAAGTTTGATCCTGAAATGCACATAGTGGAAGGAGAGAACCAACTTTCAACAAGTAATCCTCTGACCTTTACCTGTGTGCTGTGGCCATGTGCACATATACACGCACACACACACACTAAATGAATATATTTTTATAACCCTTTTTACAGTATCTTAAGGCACTGGAGAGAAATGCCTCAAGAGGTTAAGAGCACTGGCTGCTCTTGCGGAGGACCCAGGTTTAATTCCCAGCACCTGAATGGTGGCGAACAACCATCCTTAACTCTAGTTCCAGGGGAATTTGATGCCCTCTTCTGACCTCCTTGGGCATTGCATGGCACAGGTACACTTATATGCAGGCAATACAATGATACACATAAAATTAAAGGCACTCTACAGTGCCTTGATTTATGCCTTTCTTTTGTTCCTTAATTATAAAAACTCCATAAAACTATTATTACATTGGAACATTGAGGTGAGCTAAATCTGTGTTTCTGGGCCATGGTCATTCATATTTGGTTAGAGTAGACTCTTAGTCCTTTTGAGGTGAGAGGTGTGTTTTTGCATTAACTCTACAGATGTAGAGATTGTAGAAACCCTTTAGCAACTCTTCACACTTAGCAACAGAGAATTCATACTGGAAAGAAGCCCTACCCAGGTACAGAATATGCAAAGCCTGCAATCAAATCTCTCCTCTTCAGAGAAAGGGAAACTTTGTACATGAAATTGCTCTGGAAGGGCCTTTATCAAACATGTCTATCTGAGAATAGCAGACTTTGTGCCAGAAAACATTTGACAATGTAAAGAAAACAGCAGGAACCTTGCTCACACCTCCAGCTTGATGTTAATACAGAAAATCCTACAAATATAAACTTGAATTGTTGCTCAGAATTTATTGGCCATCATTAGTTACATTGTAGGGAAAATTTTAACATCACAGGTATTATAACAGTTAAGCTCACTCACCTCAGAAAACTTTGAAATTTGTTATGAATTCAAATTTCCTCTATCACCTCACTGTTAAAACCTTACAAAGCACACCTCTCAGATCATTTGTCAGAAGAGCAAGACTTCTTCCTGAATGTTTTTAGTCTGAAATACCATATTTAGATTATGGGAAAACTGTAAATAAAAGTGTTGTTTATGTAAATAAAAGTGAATGGTTAGAAGGAAGAAGAGGAAAAGACTCAATTTAAAACAGGCAAAGACTAAATACAAACCTTTTTCTCAGAAAAAGATTCACAAATGGTTAATAAAAATTGTTGACGGGCTTGGTGGCACATGCCTTTAATCCCAGCACTCTGGAGGCAGAGGCAGGCGGATCTCTGTGAG